ACTTTCCGGAAAAATGAAACCACTTACCCCAAAAACTCGTGGCGCAATTGTTTACGGTCACAATTGTGGACATTCAAGTCGCACAATTGCCAAACAACTGGGGTGTGGGAAAACAACAGTTAATGACATACTTAAACGCCTTCGTAAAACTCACTCTTTAACACCAAAAAAACAAACTGGGCGTCCACCACTTCTTAACTCACCAGCTCAACAAAAACTTAAGTCCTTCATTAAAGAAAACAATGAAAATCTTCGACTTTGTTCAAAAAAAATTGCGACCACTTGGACAGTTCAAACAAAGCAACCTATTTCTCTTAATACTATACGCTGAAACCTTAAGAAAGTTGGACTTACAGCCTGTGTTCCTCGTCGTAAACCTGCAATGACAGAAGCACATTGTCAGGCTCGGCTTGAGTGGGCTTATGAACATGAAAATTGGACTGAAAGAAAATGGAAAAGAGTCCTATTTTCAGATGAAATCACCTTTACTCAATTTCAACAGGGTCGGCAGGTGATGGTATGGCTTGAACCTGGGGAGGAGTTAAATCCTTATTGTATTTCAGTTACTGTGAAACACAGTTCTAGCAAAATGTTTTGGTGGTGTTTTTCCTGGAGCGGCCTTGGGCCAATTGTTCCATTAAATGGTTCAGTTACTGGCCAAACGCATGCTCAAGTTATTAATGATTTTGTTGTACCTACCTTGCATACACATTTTCCACAGGGTAATGGAATCTTTCAGGAGGATAATGCTGCGCCACACCGTTCAAGAGTTGCAATGGCCGCACGTGAAAATGCTGGGATTGTGACTCTTGACTGGCCAGCTTAGTCACCAGATATTAATCCTATAGAAAATATTTGGGCTGAAATGAAGATGATGATTCGATGTCGTTCACCACCACCATCTAGCATTAGTGTGCTTATGGAGTATGTTACAGATGCGTGGAATGACATTCCTCCTGAATATTATAGAAAACTAATCAAAAGTATGCCTCGGAGGGTTGATGCAGTTATTTCCGCAAATGGAAATAGAATCAATTATTAAATTTTTGTAAAATTCAATAAAGGAAGGCATAATAAATATTTTAAACTTAAATTTTTATTTTCATCATATTTAACATATATAAGTTTTTCAAATTTGAAAAGTGGCCGGATAATTTTGGGCACCATCTGTATAAGGAGTAACCCATAAATTAATTTCAAATAATGAAAGTTTTGGTATATGTATTCTTATTTAGTTTTTCAATCTGAGTGCATTACACAAACTTTTAGCGTTAGTTTCAATTTATTATTAGTTTTTTGAAAGTGTTATAACAATAATATAAAAAAAATAGCATACAATTACCAGAATAATAGGTAATAATGGCTTTTTAGAAGAATTTATATAGCAGATAGATTATTTTAGGTTAAATTTTTCATTTTAAGATCTTTTCTATTTGTATGTTAGTTACACTTATTTTTAGCCAAAAAACCATCATTTTGACAATAATATTTGAGTAATTTTCATAAGCAATTTTTACTAAATAATAAATATTTAAAATATGGTAGGTGTCAGATTTTAGCATTTATTGTGAGTTATTATATGAAAATTTTTTTCTTGATATTTTTTTTAGCATTTTTAAGTTTCATCACATAACTTGGTAATTTAGTTTATTTTTTGCAATAATTTCTCCTGAATTTATATAGTAATTTTCTGTGAATCATAGGCAGATCAGATCTTAAATAAGAATTTTTAATATTCACTCCAATTTACTGTATATTATATATAATAAAAATGTAATAAAATCAATATTTTAATTAAAGGTAGATAAATCAACTTATATGAAATATAATATAATGTTTCTGCTTTTATCTTAAAGGCAAAATACCTCTTTTAAATACTTTTTATCAATTAACTTTAACTTTATTTTCATATTAAGCATTATATTAGCAAAATTATTAAAATTTGTTATATTATTAATTTGCACATTAAACATATTTACCTTTTTTTTTCTTTTCATAAGTGGACTATTATTATTAAATCTATCAACTATATTTCTAATATTGTTAGTATAATTAACTTCTATCAGTTCTGTGTTTACAAGTTATTGAAGTGTTTTAAATGTAACTTCAAGTAAATTTGACTTATAAGAATATACAGCTGGTATTTCTTTTTTTAGAAAAACTCACTTCCAAGAATTATTTAAATTAATCAAGATTGCAATAATATCATAGTTAAACCAATAATTCATAGCAATAAGCTTTATTTGTATTTGAAATTTTGCATTAGAATTAATATATTTTAGTTTTTTAATTCTATAATAATTCTATATCAAAATAATTTCTGGCTAAATGTGATAAATAGCCTTTTATTAAAATTATAATATTAGTTGTACTTTTAGATTTAAAGAGAGTCATGCTTAACTAATAAAGAAAAGAAATTGTTATAATTTTAGTATTATACTACTTTAAACTATTTGGTAAATTTATTATATCTTTCAAATGTTTCAGATAATTTTTATATTATATGTCTATTGTTAAATTATTTCAAGTAAATTTATAAACTTGTATAGTTATATTCATTTGTATAGAAATATAATTATTTAAAACTTAAAGATTCTTTGATTTGCTACATATTTACTGAATTTACCTTTGATATTAATACAGAATTAGCTTTCTTAAGATGAATCTTTAATTTTAACAATTTTTGATCATGTTAAGTTTTTTGATTTTTAATTTTAATTAACTAAAATAATTATCATCACGTTTATATTGACCAATTATTACAATACAAAAGCTTATCTTAATTTTCATTTAAATTGAATTAAAAAACTAAAAATAAGGCAAAGTTAATTAGTTTACTTAATATAGCAAAAATATTATTATATAAAAATTATATTAATATACAGTATATTTTTGTAAAATGTAAGGTATATTGAATTTTTAATAATATATTAATACAAATTATATTATGATGAATGAATAAATAATACAGTTCAATTTACTGCTAATTTTGAAAGTTTTATTTATTTGTTTAGATAAAGCATCTAGAATAGAGCTCTGCAACCTGACCCAACAGATCAGATGACCCAACAGGTTGACTTGAAATATTCAGGTCAGGTCATCAAATTCATAACCTGATACGGATCAGGTCAATGCTAGTCGATACCTGATCCAACCCGTTGATCTGACATATATTTGGGTCAAATAAATTAAAAAATGCCAAAACTAATAGTTCTGGCATTTTTGTATATAAAATCAAAAGGAAAAATGCTGGAACTAATGATTCCAGCATTTTTACATGTAAAATTGAAAAAAAAATGCTGAAACTAATAGTTTTAGCGTTTTTACATGTAAAATCAAAAAGAAAAATGCCAGAACTAATGATTCTAGTATTTTTACATGTAAAATCAAAAAGAAAAATGCCGGAACTAATGATTCTGGCATTTTTACATGTAAAATCAAAAAAAATGCTGGAATTAATAGTTTTGGTGGTTTTATATATAAAACAAAAAGTAAAATGCCAGAACCTAACGTTTTTTCAATAAAAATTAAAAAAAATCATTTTTTAACGTCAAACTCAGCGTTTTTTGTATATTTAATAAAAAAAAATGTTACAAAATGTTTTTTTTACTTGAAATATTCAGTTTAATAATAAAACTTCAGGTAACCTGAGTTACCCAAAGTGACTTAAATATTTTCAGGTCAAATAGGTCAGGTCAGGTCAGAACAGTTTACCTGACCTGACCTGACCTGAAAAAAAATTTTGGGTCAGATTAACCAGGTAACCTGACCCAATCTAACCCGTACGGAACTCTAATCTAGAACATATCTTTTATATTTATCAAAAAATTCAAAATAATTATTTTTCTTTATTTTATCTAGAAGAAAATAAACATGAAAATAAAATAAAATTTATAGAAAATGATTTCTTAGAGGTTTCATATGGGCGGATTTAGTTCACGCAGTAAAATTGACATAATGCTGCATTAAAATTTTTTGTGTATCAAAACTGATCTGCATGTAAGTTATCTTGTATCAGGTGAGTGTGCAGATCAATCAAAAAGAATTTTTCTTAATTCGCACCACGCAAAAACAAAAAAACTTAAAAAAAAAGCGCGCACTCAACCCATCCGACCACCTAACAACCCATCCGACCTAACCCGGTATGTATTTTGCTCTAAAACCAGCTGATTTTTTTTTTCGAACTTGCAAAACTGTACAAATAGTTATTTTTCATATTTTTGGTTATTTTTTTTCTCATAAAATTTTATTATTTTAGATGCCTATGATTCGAGATCCGGCTAAGTTCTATTGTTCAATCTGTACAAGGCGTACCAAAGGGTTTAAAACTCGTTCAGGGTTACAACGACATGAGACACTAAAACATATATCTTACAATAAACTTCCATCACATATTCAACAAATTTTTAATTCAGAACTCTCCCATTTAAAAAGCGCTATAATTAAGGAGCTACAAAAGTGACTTAGGAACAATTATACTGCAGTTGGAGAACAAACCTTTTCATTACATTGTAGTGAAAATGCTTTTGTTGGTGTTTTCAAAGATCATATAATTCGTTATTCTCCATGTGTATCTTTTTATTTTTGTAGTTTCAAGGGGGAAAATGCATTTGATGAAATTGGGCAAATATTAGATGATGAGAAGTGGGGAGAACGTAATTATGGAAAGGGGCAATTGAGTTTTGTTCGTTTGTATTTACCTGAGAATGGAGATGATAATCACAAACAAAAAACTAAAATGAAATTATCAGCTAATGGGGAAATGACTGTAAAATGGCAAATGACGGGTGGTAAAGACAAAGAAAATCATAAGTTTGAGGCGGGATCCGTCCAATTTCGTTTTTTTTGGATCAATGTCAAATATAGATTTTTTTTATAGAAATAAATCAATTTTGCATATACAAATAAATAAAAAAATCATCTTGTTGTAAATATATGTCAGTTATTATTGTGATCTTCTCTTTATTTAAATAAAAAAAACTACGAAATTAATTATTAGACTAAATTATTCTGTATTTTTTTGGTTTTTCAAAAAAATTTGGTACTTCGTTTAACGCAAAATATAATTGCCGATTTTCATGTTCTAACATTTCTACAATTGCAGATTTTCGTGAATTCTCGTGTCCCCATCTTTTAATGTGTTTCGAAAATAAAGGCACACTTGCATGTGGTTTTTCTTTTCCACCGCTGAACATGAAAAAGCAGTTAATCCAAACTCATGATGAATTTCAATAAACTCTGCTACATGATTAACCAATACATGAATATAGGGAGTTACATCTTGAATTCAATACATTCTTCTAACAAAATTACTCCTGTTGGGATGACCTTTAGAAGGAGCTAAAAATGCATTTAGCCAAGTTTGAGCCTTATAACGAAAAGTTTCACCTGTAGTTTGCATGTTTTGCATCAAGATATACAGTTCATTAAATTGATTCCATAATTCTTGGATTTGTATAGCTCTTTCTATTGACTGAAAAATGGCAATAAGATTAAATTCTTTCAGGATTTTTAACTTGTCTGGTCCCATAAGGGAAGTATATGATAGATTGTTACTATTTTTTTCACGCCAAAATTGAAATGTTATCTTAAGTCTCTGCATTTCTAATAATATTTTTTCTTTCCAAATTTCTTCATTTGTTGTTTTACGACGAAGATCAGAAAGTATCAATTCCCATAATCTGTCTGTTATTCGTAAAAAAACATGTAATTCGTCACATACCCAGTTTTGTAAAGGTATCATATAAAATAGTGGTTTTTTAATATGACCATTAATTTGATTATAATTATCTTTAATCTCATCCATTGACTTATTTATTGTTTTTGTTGTAGTGTTAATTTCATCTTTACTACAATCACACCATGGACAGAAATGTTGAGCGTTAGCGGCTTTTATTCCTAGACATATTGATAGAAATTTCCAGTCTGAACTAAAAAATAGTTCAACCGGCCAGTGATTACCTCCTATTTGATCAAATCCTTTTTCTTTTAATATAGACAAGTCAGAAATTAAAGGAGTTAGGGCATTTTTAAGAGATTCATATGATTCAGCTCCTGGATATAAGACTAATGTATAATTGTTATCTGGTTTTTGTAAACCATTAAGGTCATTTAATAATGTTATTGTTACCATAACATGTTTAACCTTGCGACCAACATTGCGTCCATCACCTGAAATTCTAATGTATAAAGTTGATGTCTCAGGAGTTAAGATTCCTCGTTCTATATATAACGGTACAATGTAATTGAGAATATTTGTAATACGCCGTTGTCCTCCTTTACCAATTGATTCTAACATATTTGTAATAACTGCATTATCAGTAATATGAGGCTTTTCTGTAATTGGCTCAAAAATAGTTGGTTGTAATAAATCAACAAGAGTTAATGGAATATTTTTTCTCATTTCTATATTGATTCTTTGTCGTGTAGTTGATACTGCCTCTTCACGTGGTATACTATGTTCAATTCGTGCTAAAGATCGATATGCCTCTCTTGAAATATGATTTCTGTCTAAAGATTTAACTACTGCCTCAATTCTTTTTATTTCTCCCATTATATTTAACTGCTCAAAATTAATATCATATAAATCATTATAAGATTCAAATTTTACTTGCTTAAGTTTTATTTGGTCAGTTGGATGGAACATGTTTTCCTTTTCTTCTTCAACAGCATCCAAAATACATTGTGATAAGCATAGCATCTTTCGGCTTCTTGTGGTGTTGCTAAGTTCACTAAAAGGTTGAATTTTTAATGTCACTGACTTATTCACTCGTTCAACACTAAGTAACTTGAGACCAAAAAGTAGATGGCCAGATATTTTTCCTTTATTAGTAGCTTCTTTGAACTCCTAATTATTTGTTTTAGCATTCATATTTAACATTTGATAATAAAAAAATTCATCAAATATATCTGATATTATTTACAGGCGGCTTCTGTTGAAGATTCTAAAGAATGTACTTCTTTCGCAAAATTTTCTCCAAAGTTGACTTTAAATAAAGGTTTTCCTTCCACATAATTAATTGAACATTTTACAATATGGTTTGCTTTTCCATATTGAGTTTCAACAATATAATTGTGAGGAATTGGATGTTTTGGATTTCTGGTGTAATGAAGTTGATTGGTAAGAGGATATGTTCCCTCTTTTATGATTTTGTAATAGAAAGTTCTTTTTTTATCATAAAGTTTAATAAAACGACTTGTTGGATAAGTGCTATCTTCTTCCATTTTGTTATTTTGAAATTAGCGTTAGAAAAATTTTTTTTTGAAATCAAGTGTGATACAAACTTACACATGATTCTTAAATTGTATATGTATTATGTCGTCATGTTTTGTTTATATGAACCAATTTTGCAATTTGATGATCAATTTTTTATTTACACTTAATGTTAACCCATTAATATTATCAAAGACCGCAGCACGACGCAACATATATTTTACGGAATACATATTCTTTTGTATTCTTTTTTTCCGTCGCAAATAATATTATAAAGTTTNATTCTTTTATGTTCATTTTTTTCTGACACAAATAATATTATAAAGTTTCAGCCAGAATTAAGTTCAGCCGAATTATATTAATTCTGGCTGAAAATAAAATTGAAATTTTTTTTTTAGGATATATGCACATCATACTAAGCATTAACTTCGCAACATTTATTTTTATTCATATAACAAAATTCAATAATTATAGGTAATGAAACAAACCCGCCGATATGTATATATAATTATGATTTAAAAATTTTTAATTAATTTAATTAGCTATGTAAATATGTTTAAATTTGAATAAGTTATCTAAATTCTCCAAAATTCTACAATTAGTTTTTTCAAGATTTACTATGATAATTTTATTATAAATTTAACAAGGTTTTAGCAGTTTTAGCATTTATAATAAGTTTTGTCAGGTTTCATTTTTTTTGGAAAGTTCACTAACTTTTTAATAAGATTTTATATAGTTTTAGCAAAGTTTCACTATTTTAATATTTCATTAATTTACTAAAACCCTTTAGTTTTTTCAGTTTAGTTTTTACATTAAATATTAAAAGTAAAATTATAGTAATTATAATTTGTAATATTTATTTAATTTATATTTAATCTAATTAAATTTAAGCTGAATTATTTTATTTTAACTAATAATATAAAAAAAAGTAATACTAATTACTGCAGATTTTTCTTTTAGTTTATTTATATTATATTTAATTTATTTTGAAGTAAAAGGCTTTTCTTTATTTTACAAATAAAAAGATTATTATTAAATAATACATTCTTCTTTAAAAAGATACTGTTTTTAAAATTCTAATATTTTGAAAATTAATGCTTTGAAAAAATCTGATCTGATTAGATTTGATCTAAATCTGATTTATCAGATTCAGATCAAATCAGATGAATTTAATCTATAGTTTAAATTCAGATCAAAAAAATTTGATTTGAACAAGTCAGATTAGCTTTAAATCAAATCAGATCAGATTCAGATTAGGTTTATTCAAAATCTGAGATTGTATTTGATAGATTTAATTTAGATTTCAGATTTGATTATACTAATAATTTCAGCCAAATTCATAATGCCGGCTAGAATTAATTCATAATTTTAAATTCCAGCTAAAACAGATATGTTAATTATTATTTTTTTTTGGTAATAACTATTTCACAAAATCAATTTTTATAGAAACTAGTGTTCACCTGTTGTTTACGACAACAGTTAATATGTAATTCCGGCCAGAATTAAAAGATCTGCAAAGAATTTCCTTTTTTGGAAATTTAAGCAACCCAATTTTTTTAATTTCTCTGAAAAGTAACAAGACAAAATTTCCTTTTTTTGGAAATTTGCGTAACCAACAATTCCTTTTATGGAATCCTGTGTAACCCAAATTTCAGTTTTCCGCCAGAAATAAAATTTCCTTTTTTGGTCTTGTGTAATATTGGCGACGAATAGGAGTAGGGTTACACAATTCAAATGACTTATTTATATGGTTAATCTAAACATAACGCCATAACGCCCACGTGATTGCAGTGTTTTTTAATATATAGAAGATTAATTTGATTTTGTGTAACCTAAATTTTTTTAGAAAATTCAATAATTCCTACCAAAGTTAAATGTATAATTCTGGCTGAATTACATATTTAATTTTAGCATTTTGGCTGAAATTTCAGAATTTTGAATTTGACTGGAATTACAAATTATAGTTTTAGAATTTCACAGGTTGAAAAGTGAAAAATTAGGCATCAATTAATCACTGATCAGTCACCAATTAGGTAACTGATTGATGAATAATTGGTGACTAATTGGTATTTTCGCCAAATAATGTTACCATTTACCAATCAGGTAGTTTGCTAACTTTTGATCCAGTAAATTGCATTGAATAGTAAGAAGAAAAAACTAAACCAATAAGATAATAGAACAACATGTACTGAACATTTCTATTGGATTATTTTATAGAATTTAATAAGAATTTTAATTAATATTATGGGTTAAAATTGAATAATTTTATTAAGTAGCAATAATAAAAATATAAAATTTCAGATTAGTTTTTATGTAATTTTTATGGATTTTACAAAAATTCCATAGAAATTTACAAGAATTCTATGTAATATGTTTAAAAAAAAATTTTACCGCTCATGCAGTAATTAATATTTTAAAAGTACTTTAAAAAATAGGTTATACAATATAAATAAATAAAATTTCAAATTTTGAACTATTGTTCATAATTGTTGTTTATAGATGACTACTATCATATAATATTAAAAAATTGCTAAAAAAAATAATGTAAATTTCAATAACTTTTTACTATAATATTTTGCAATTTTTTCAATCATATTTTTTTAAACTTAAATTCATATTAAAAATCAAAATAATATACAATAAATTTTTATGCTAAATTTTTATATTAGAAATAAAAATATATAGAATATATATTAAAGATTTTAACATTTAAAAAGATATTAAAGATAATGTATATAATTTTTTTTTATTTTATTTGTTTAATCATTCAATAATTTTTTTTTTTTTTTTTAATACTTTTTAGAGTACTTTCTAAATGCTAAAGTGAACCAGATAACAAATCCTCTAACCACCTTATGGTAGTTGACCAAGGAACACATCAGGGCACAGTATGAAGCATTTAACTCACTCTATAAGCAAAGGTAGAATAACTATCCTCCCATACTCCCATATAACCATACTAGGTTGGATGCATCCTAGTCATTTTAACTAAACATTTCAGCACAGTACATTAAGTACAGTAAGAGTCCAAACTATAAAGCAAACTTCGTTTTTATAGTTCAGAGACAATCAGCCTTTAATCATTCAATAATAAAATCTAATAATATTATATAAATATCTTTTGGTTAAAATGTAATAGAAATAGCTTATTTCTCTAAAGTAAATATAAATATTATATTTTATTATATAAGTAATAGTTATACAAATAATTTATAATATATTATTTATTACATTATATATACTTTAATAAGAATCAAAAAACATTTATTTTATTATATATATCTATTTATATGTATTATAATAAAGTAAAGTACTTAATTATTTATATAATTGAACACAAACTACTTGCATAAAGTATAATAACCAATATACTATATAAATTTTTTATTATAAAAAGTTATAACTTTTTTTTGTTAAAGTACTATTATTTTTTACCATCTTTTAAATTCATTTACTTATATTTCAAGTTTTTTTTTATAATATTTACTAATTTCTTTTAAAGCTATAAATTAAAAAAGAAAATCTCAGATATACTTGTATTACTTGCACTACATTATATTAATGCAATAGGTTTTAGTGGTAATAAAGAAATTATTAATAAATAAGTAGTAAAGTCATTATGTAATTTATCCTTTTTTTATATTTCTTTTGTATAGTATTTTTTACTATTAATTTTATAGCTAATTGTATAATTATTATATAAATATAATATTAATATCAATTTATTCTTTTTTGAATGTAAAAAAAATTGGATTATAGTTCCAGTTAAAGATGATTTATTTTAGTTTTTTCTTATTATAATATGTATTATTCATATTGTTAGATATGATTTTTCCTTAAAATAATAGATTGAAGAATTTCTTTTCTTTTTATATATTTATTTGAAATAGCATCTCTATAACTCTATTAATACACCTTTTCAAGTTATTATTTGTATAGTAAAATATATCTTTTTTAAGAATGAATACTAAAGAGTTGTATATAATACAATATATATAATTTATTTTTATTTCAGAAGGAAGAAACCTTTCAATATTATAAAATCTTGCATATACCCTATAAAAATTTTTCAGAAAAATAATCACATGTCTGAATTTCTTTAAAATAAAATCTAGAAAAATGATTATTTATTGAAGATTTTTTTGGAATTTTTTTATAGGGATATTTGAATAATATATTTTTAAAAAAAATTTCTAGGTATTCTTCAAGTATTTTTCTAAATAAATCACAAATATAAAAGCATCATATTTTTGATGTTTTATTATCATGTTTCTTTTTTAAAGAGAACAATACTTTTATATGTTTTATTATAATTAGATAAATAAAGCTTAAAGTAGGCTATATTATATAAATTCATCTTTATAAGAGTTTAAGTAATAAAATAATAATTTGCAGTTTTATATTATTATTAGTGAATTATAACAGTTTGTAATAAGTATATTATAATAAAATATTAGATTTATATATGGGAATTAATTATATTGGTTTGTAGTTTCTCAAATCATGGAATAATCGGCTAATCAGATTTTATATAACATCTAAGCCAATTCTAAGTCACTGATTAATCAATATATTAACCAGATTGATTAATCATTTTCATCTTGAAACCTACCTTTTCAAAATATCTTCCTTTTCAAGTTTGAATTCACAGTAGTAACTGATAATTTAGTTTATAACTATCCCAGACTAGAGCTCCTAATGAGTCGAGTTGAGTCGAGTCACAAGTCAAAAACCTTAATTTTAAAGTACTTTTTATTAAGTTAGAATATAATTAAACGAAAATTTACAATTATGTGAGTCAAAAATGCGAGTTTATGCAAGTCATTTTTGGAGCTCTATTCCAGACTTCCAGAGTTTTCTTTGAAAGAAAAAAAGTAAGTATGACTTATGCATGTTCTTTAAGGTCTGCTCACTTTTGATCTGTATAGTTTTCAAGTTTGCCATTTTGAATTGGAAATAACGTTTTAATGGAAGAGTATCATAACACCTTTGTTTATTGCAATAAGTTGACTGGATATAAATTTTATTGGAAAAACAAAAATATATATACAGTCAGACCTCTATATAATCACACTCTATATAGTCATATGACTCATATCATATAAAATTTCTCTATATAATCACACCTTTGGGAAGTACTAATATATATAATTATTATATAAAAAAAACCTTTGTATAATCACAGCATATCAAAAGCTTCTATATAGTCACCGATTTTTGCAGAACTGATTAGGTGACTATATAGAGATCTGACTGTATTATAGAAATGTTCTATACAGATAGATCGTCAAGCTGTTATGTCAAAATTAATGGATTACTTTAAGGTTCCAAATAATGGTGTAATATGTATTAATTCACCATGATGCAGTTCAACTACACTAACTTTTGTATCTTTACACTATTGGTATTAGCATCTGCAGTAAAATTTGTTTTATTTCTGTGATCAGTAGAATTAAACTTGTAATTTCACTATAATCAGGCTTAATGAGAGGTACTACGCCCAACCACTATTCTGAATTTAAAGTTCCAAATGAATCAGATCAGATCAGGTTAATTAATAAACCTGACCTGAAATTTTTTTTCAGGTCAGGTCAGGTCAGGTTATATCAGATTATCTGTTTGACTTGACCTGAATTGAAACCTGAAAATTTTCAGGATTTTTATTAAAATATCAAAAAAAAATAATGCAAAACATTTTTTTGAAAATATTGCGATCCACTTTTTTTATATTAAAATCGTATGAAAAGGTGAATCGCAATACCACAACTATATAAAATCAATATAAAAAAAGTGAATTCTGATACCACAACTCACTTTTATTATATAAAATCAATATAAAAAAGTGAATTTTAATACCGCAACTTACTTTTATTATATAAAACCAATATAAAAAGTGAATTATAATACCATCACTTATATTATATAAAATTATAGTTTCAGGTCAACAGGTCATTCAGGTTATATTGATGTTACAACCTGAACTGATGCTAAATTGCAATTGCTAAACCTGACCTGATAAATTCAGGTCAACCTGTCAGATTACCTGAATTTGGTCAACCTGTTCAGAACTCTAACTGTCTGATAAAAGTTCTTTATCAACTATATAAGAGGTTTCCTTTTAATATATTTGATCTTTAACTTGTAATATCAATTCACATTTTTTTTCTATAGTTTACTATAATTTGGTCAGCCTAGGAAAAAAAATGGTGGTAGATATCACAGTATATCCTACTTCTGCTTATGTTCTAAGACCTGGTATTCCACACTCTGGTCCTCCACCCAGTGATACATACAAATGTTATTTTAGTTTTTTTAGTTTATGTATTATTTGTTTAAGTTACTTTTCTAATACTCTTATGTAGAGTTTATCTCATATAAGAATCATTGTTGAGATAGCTAAATTTTAAAGCCTTACTGACTTGAATATAAGATGTGAAAAGTGGATGCAACAACAATGTGTTTGAGATATACTTGGCATCAAACTTGATGCTATTAGGAGCCATCAAGAAATGGATCATTAGTCAATATTGATATATCTAGTTTGTTATTTTTTTTTTTATAGTTTTATCTCTATAAGTTTTTTTTAATATTAGACTACGTTATAGATATGCTAAAATATGTCATCAATAGCACCAGGAGGATATGGTGTACTACTAGGATTTACAGCATCAATGAATCCAAATTTACCAAGAATATTTTTCAAAACTGTAAATAAGATTTATCTACTGTTAATATTTTTTTTATAGTCAATTATAACTTTGGCTATATTATAGTGAGATTTTAGCACTTTACTATATGGTACTACTAATGCTACTGCTTGCACTGATCTGAACCTTCCTGCTTATCAAATGACAATTCCAATTGAAGATGTTTTTTGGAACTTTCCAATAGTTTTGGATTCCACTACAAATACCAATGTCCCAAATAAAACTGATTACACCATAACAGTTCCTGATGCAATCACAGTTCCCAATTTTATCATTGACTTATTTGTAATCCAGCAAATAGTTATAGAATGTCAAAGAGTGTAATTTAGTATAATAATAATTTATCTTGCTTGTATCATGAATAACAAAAAGTAACTTAGGAAACTAATGCAAGTTAATTCGAAATTTTTTTTTTTTATAAAAATACAAATATTTTATTAATATTTAATCTAATATAAAAAATTAAAGTCTAATGAGATTTATTTTCAGTATTAATTACTATTAAAAATTTTAGGTTTATTATTTAGAAAATTATTAATCAAAGAATAATAAGTAAATATAAATATATATATACATTTTAAACAAAATTAATTTTTTTAAACTAATATTTATTAAATATACTATTTTACATTTTTAATATTTTCAAGTAATTTTATAATGAGTAAATTTATTCATCGCCTCGTCTCTGGACAAAATTACGTAATGCCGGGCAAAATTAATACAAGTGACATTTAAAGTGGGGTGTGAAAAATAGATTTTTTACAACAAAGTTCTCAGAAATATATATAAAAAATGAAAAAGGGAGGTATGTGACACGGGTGACAAGAGTAGTGTTAACATCGCGCAATTTCTTAATTTCTTTTATAAGGAAATTAATATAATTTCAGAAAAACGTGTGAAAATACATATATAGGTAGAGGATTTACATCAAATCATGGTAAATGCTGAAAACCAATTATTATTTGCTGAAAACATATATTATGAATCTACAAATATCGTAAGTTTATGTTGTCATCTAATAATTGTAAAAGGATTAGAATCGAAAATCAAATAGTGGGGTATTTTATATGAATCTACAAATATTGTAAGTTTTTGTAATATTATTTGACATCTAATAATTGTTAATAATTGTAAAAGGATTAGGATCGAAAATCGAATATATATTATATGAGTCTACAAATATCGTAAGTTTTTGTAATATTACTTGGCATCTAAAAGGATTAGAATCGAAAATCAAATATATATTATATATCGTAAGTATTACTTGGCATCCAAAAGGATTAAAAATCGACAAATCAAATGGTGATACACATGTATTATACATTCATATAAAATTTAATTTTAAAATTACTTGATAATGTATAGTATTCATTAGAATTTTCCATTCAAACATTGACAAAGAATCGAAGCGTCTATAATTATTAATCGTATATGTAAGTCAAAGTACATAAGAATGGATAGCACGATTCCTTCGCTTTTTTTGCACCGGAACAATGAATAAAAGTAATTTATTTGTTTATTAATAAATGCATATAAATACATATATATATAAAGAATTATGACAAATTAATCAAGAGGTAAAATTACTATTAATTTAAATAAATTAAATCCAAAAATGCATGACCAACTTCAATTTAAAAGAATCATTTATCAATGAATTTTTTTATTAATAGGATTGTAACGAGTAAAAGTTATATTTTTAACAAATGTTGTAAAACAAAACATCCAATTAATTTAATTAATTTTGTACGAAAAACACGCACACGAATTAAATTCAAGTCACGTGATAGACCAAAAGTTCAAAAAAAATAAACCAATGTGTATAAAAACAATAGTTTGGATTTCATTTTGTGGTTAAAAGTAGAAAATAAATTTGAAGTAAAACGTAAAAAAGTTCAATTGACATTAAACATATAATGATACAATTTATACAAAAGACAAGGGAGAACTTTTTGAACAAAGAAATTCATTTAAATTAAACAAAGGAAGTAAAACATGAGACATTGAGACATGATATTTAATGTCATAATACATTGCACTGTTAAAAATTTTCCGGGGACCGACAATTAATAATGTAAGTAGTGCATAAGATAAATATGTAAAGAATGGAGAAGGCTTAGCTTAGAGACAAAAACTGTCAAAAACAACGAAATTCTTTATACGATTAAAACTAACCAATTAAATATTAAGGCGCAGCGAGAAACAAAGAGTAATTAATATAAAACTTTCTTTGTTAAAAATAATATGGAAATTATTAAAATTATAGAAATTTAATGTATAACAAAATAAAACAATACGATTACAATACGATACATACAAGGAAATATGATATAAAATACGATAATATAATTAATATATATTGATCCATCTACGTCATCATCTCTTTGTTTAAAAAAAAAAAACCAAGATTAAAAACCAGAATAATTGATGTACGGTTATCAGTCGTCAGATCTCAAAATATTACGATACAATCATTTACGCCTTAATATAATAAAATTTACACATTTATTCACTTTATTTAGTTTACATAAATATGAAAAATTTTACGAGATCAAAAAGAAGAGAAAAAAAAACAAATATATTTAATTTTTTTTTTTTTTTGCCACAATTTAAAATTTGCGCCATTTTTACATTTAATGATTTTCATCAAAACGAATCGAATGAAGGTAAATCAACCCTTCACAACCAAACTTATAAAAGCAATGTAATACAAAAGAAAGTACTCACCTTTTTTTAGTCCAATTAGGATTAGTGACACTTGTATTACTTGAATTACTTAATGTACTTAGCAGACCCTTTACCCGCTTACGGGTTACACACTTGATACACAAAAATGATCCGAATAATATTCTTGAAATGTTTTCGGAATTTCTTTTCTTTTTATGGGACAATTAAAGTCAACCTTAAAAAGAAGAAAAGATTTTAATATTTGGGAAATTTTTTTAACCAAAATCCGATGAATGGTAAAAAATTTTAAAATGGGTTACACCAATGCGTTTGTAAAATTAACAATGAAGATCCATTCCGACAATGGAAGACAACATATATTATATTTATGTTGTAATCAACGTGGAAGAAATTTTTATTACTCTTTTAGTTCTATTAAAAAATATGAATTTGATTGATTGTTAATTAAAAAAATTACAACATTCAAAACATTTATAATTGGTATTAATTCTTTTTTGTTAAACAGTATGAATTGACAAGTTTAATTAAAGGAATTTAAACAAATTTGTGATAATAATAATAATAAAATGTATTATTATATATTTATTATATATTTATATGTTTATTATATATACTTATTATATATTTATTATATATATATATATAAATATTTAATTATTTTAATATATCGCATCCTTATGACTCTCACAAAGTTATATTTGTTTATACAACATCTTTCCTTTATTAGTAATAGATTTTTAAATACTTTACTTTAAAAATTTGAAGTTGAATTATTAAAATAAACTTGTAACGGGATCGGCATTTTTAACATTTTAATTTGCATTTGACTTTTTTTTCATCATCAAATTTAAACAATGCATGCTTTCCATATTCGGGTAACAGTAATTTAAAACAAGGAATGATTTGTTGGATATTTTTAACCGTTTAGTTTAAATTCGATCATTACAAAGAAATATTATAAAATGTATATTAACTCTTTATTTCCCTTTTTTTTTTTCTTTTGATGAATTAAAATTTTTTTCTATGCGCTCTAAAAAATTTTAATTTATATATTTCATATATATATTTTTAATGTCTTTGTTATATATATTATATATATTACATATATATATACATTAATCAACTTTATTTATTGCTTTTTTGAGAATTGAAATAAAAAAAAAAAAAAAGGAAGTTTCTTAAATTATAGATTAGCCATAATTAATTTTAGTGTTTCGAATTTTTTTTACGCTTATTTAGCCTTCTGTTGTTCATTCATTTCATTTTTTTCTCTCTTATCTTCATTCTTTTCAGAAGAAAAAGTAAAAAGGTTATTTTTTTTGGACAGTCGTTGATTCGACTGGTTCAAGAAAAAATTTAAATTTTAAATTATCACGATTCTTTACTATTAATTTATTTCCTATTTCCTTGGTTCTCCGACATTTCTCATTATTTTATATTCCCCCCTTTTTATAAAACCTTTTTTTTTCTTTTTTTTTTTCTTTTAAAACCTTTTTTTTTTAATCAAAAAGAAAAAAAATACTACAGTATTTTTAAAAAGTTATCTAATAATAATAATAATTTAATAATACATTATATAATTTCTTCTTCTTAAAGGCCGGGCGCTTAGAAAAAAAAGATAACTTTATACAACTCCTACTCCTACTCAACATTATCATTCAACAATAACTTTGTCGGGGATTCCAATTATAATCTTTCATTTTTAAAATCCTTTTTTTAACGACATCTTTTAACGAACAACTCCACTATACTCTACTCTCATAATATATATATGATATAAAAGATGGGTGATTTGATGTTCACTATTTCGACAGGGTTGGCTGTAATACTTTGTATTATACCAGGAATCTTTCATTTACAAACTAGAAATTATGGTGCTATATTTATGACTATGTGGGTCTTGATTGCAAATTTTATAACTTTCGTGAATTCAATTTTATGGCCTGATTATGAAATTTTGGAAGATAAGGCGGAAATTTGGTGTTTGGTTTTTGCTTCCCCTTTTTATCTTGCTGCAGGTTTTGGTCTCTTGGGTTCTGCTACTTGTACTATTTATACTATGTACTCTTATGTTGCTTCCCCCATTATTTTGACTGTACAAGTTAAAAAACGTCAGGCTTTAATAGCTTTTGTAATTACTGTGGTAATCCCTTTTATTCTCACTGGTTTAAGTTATATAGTTCAAACTGCTAAATATAGTATACGTCCTATTCTTGGATGTGCTAATGTACATCAACAAAATTGGTTCTTCTTCGTCGTGGATAATATGTGGCCTCCAATAATAGCTATAGTTGGATGTTATTATGCTGGTATGTATTGATTGTGTCAGCTATTAATGTTGTATATATATATACAGTATATATTCGTTCGTGTATTAATCATAATCCCTTTTTTTNATGTATTGATTGTGTCAGCTATTAATGTTGTATATATATATACAGTATATATTCGTTCGTGTATTAATCATAATCCCTTTTTTTTTTTTTTTTCAAAGGTTTAACATCTTACGCTATTATCAAAAAACGTATCGAAATTAAATCCCTTTTGGCTTATAATGAATCTGGGATAAATACTTCTTATTATTATCGCTTGGTCCTTTTCTGTGTAACTTACCTCATATTTGCTTTACCTGCCGCTCTTCTTAATACCTTCTCAAATCTTTTGGAAGGTTTCGTCCCTTTTGATATGAGTGAGAGAAATTGGCACTCCATTACTAGATTCCCGGGTGAAAATCATGGTGTAACTTTTGTTGATTATGCAAAACCTCTTTCCGGTTTTATTTTATTCATTTTCTTTGGAACTGGTCAAGAAGCTGTCTTAACTTATAAAAGATGGCTTGTTGCTGCAAAATTGGATAAAATTTTCTGTTGCTTATTTCCTTCAAATAATGATGATCAATCAAGAAATAATTCTAATATTAATGGTAATGTTGGAACTCTTAGATCTTTTCAAGGTCAATTAAGTTTTGGAAAACATTCTGTACCAAGAACTCCAAGAACTCCTAGAACTCCAAGATCTCCAAGATCTCGTCAATCTATTTCAGATGATTCTCCAAAAATAATTACTCCTCCACCAAGAGCTATGATTGATAAAGAAAAGAAATCTGGAATGAAAAATATTTTATATTTGACAGGTCATCGTACTCCAAGTGAACAAGCTGCTTTTGATCTCACTTCTGGTTTAAGAATGAATATTGATGGTATAGATACTCGAACTGTTATAAATGAAGTTGATGAAGATTTACATGAAAGACCTGCTCCTGCTTATCATCATCGAGGAATTCAAGAAACTTTAGAAATTGATGTTGATAATGATGATTTCGGAGTAAATCGTTATGTTGAGGATGATATCAATGATGATTTTGATACAAACCGTTATATTGAGGATGATGATGATTTTGGAACAAATCGTTACGTTGAAGGAGATGATGATTTGGCCTTAGAATATTCCACACCATTACCATCACAGCCCCAAATGAGTTTTGGTGGTGGTAGTGTCAGTCATATTAATCATTTGTTAGCCGTTTATGATGAAACCGTTCCATCCATTAATGTTACTCCTTCCTCACCATTACCACATCAACAAACATATGCTATGGTAAGAGTACATCCCACAGACACGTTCGTAGCAAATGGTATAGATGACGTTATAGAGGAATATAGTCCCAGTAGAAATACTGGAAATCAAAGTCAAAGGAGTTCTTATTCAGAAACCGGAATTGCCCTATAACAAATAAGAAATAAAAAAAAAAAAAAGAAAAAAAAGAAAAAAAAATAATTTCAACTTTTGCATTATCACACATTTACACATTTATATATATAATACACACTTAAACTATTATCCTTTTTTTTTCATTCATTAACAATTGCATTATACATTTTACATTACATTTTGCATTTTTTTTTTCATTTGTACATAAAAAGTTTTATGTAGGTTTTTTCTTTTTCGCCATAATTTCTTTTTACTTTTCCTTTATAGTGAATTATTTCTGTGAATAATAATTTTATGGCAAAAAAAAAAAATCCTTTTTTTTTAAAAAAATAGAAGATACCGTTTATACATATTTTACATATATAGCCTTGTACCTTAGATATTTACTTAATATATACTATATAACCCTGAAGAAATAAATGCTTTTTTTTCTTGTCCTGTTGTGGAGTTTTTTTTTAAAAAAGTAACTTATATTTATTTCTTCTTATTAACGTTAATCTTTTTTTTATTGTAATTACAGAATTAACAATAATAATAATAAAAAAAAAATTTAAAAGTCTTTTTTTTTCTAAAAAAAAAAAACATATATATAATATACAGTATATACATTTTTTATGATAATTTGGTTAAATTGCCATAGTCCCATAGTCCGCAAAGATTTATCCATTTATCACAAGGTTTTATACAATATCGGTCAAGTTTAATGTTCCAATCAAGCAAACTTTACTTAAATCTAACTAGACCGCCTAAATATTCTTTACCATCTTTACAGTAATACGAATAAACTATAAAATTTGATAAAAAATTTAAAGAAATCCAAAATTTAGTATATTAACTAAGAGGTAAATTAGCAAATAGGTAAATAGTAAAGATTAAAGAAACTGGGTAGTTTAAATATCAAAACATATGGATTAGAACTTGGCAAGCATATTTTTTTCATCTTTTTAAAATCCTGCTTCTCCATCATTTTTACATTTATTTTTATTTAGCCAGCCGACCTTTTACTATAAAATTGCTAGGCGATTTTGACGGTGTCACGTGATTTTCAATAATATATTTGCAATGTATTCAGGCGTCCTCGGACGAAAGAAAAATACGGATGATAGATCAGTTGGAACCTCTTTTTATGGGCGGTTACGCCTAGAATAGTTGGTAAATATCAGACGGGACAACTCCTTTTGGGGGTCGGATCAATTTGTATCGTGTAGTTTAGTATTGTTTTTGTAATTCATACTTCTACCTTTTACTTGTAATCCCGGTTTCTGTCTTCATGATAAAAATAAAAATAAAAAATATATTGTATGTAAGAATCATAATTGAATGGCTCAAATTAGTTTATTTCTATACTTTAGTTCTAACAAATTTTTAATATAAAGTATGAACTGACTTAATTTTGGATCAAACTAACTATACAATCCAGTTCATTTAATTTAAACCAGCTCAAATTCATTTATTTTAATAGTAATAATTTAGAACTGAAATAGACCAGCCGGATACATTAATATATTAATATATTAATGTGTCCGGCTTAGTCAAGACTAATATGTACCGGGACGTTATAGTTTATTGGTACATATTAGTCAACTAGACTACTAGAGTATAATGTACCATATATAGACTAATATGTACCAGGATTTGATACTTCATAATTTTATTTTATGAAGTCACTCGGCTGGCACTATGCTGAAATTTCTGCCTGATCTTTGGAGCGCTTCCAGTGATTGGATTCGTGCGGTTTTAGACTTGTTTGGAAGCTCGTGACCTGGCCTATATGTATGCCAAATTTGGAATCGATTGCCTGGATGGCGAGATATTGCGTCCCAGACTCCCAGCTGTCCAAAATTTCATAATTTACTGCGCCTTGTATTCTGGCCGAAACATTTCCACACTTGCCCGCTCCTTTCTAGATTCTGGGCCTGGGCATAGTGCTGGCCGAAATTAACTGCGTATTACCATGAAGTGCCAAATTGGCAATTCTGCTATTTATAACCTATAGTTTGATTGCTAAGTTAAGGCATGAAGTGCCAATTTTGCAATCTATTATTTATAATAATCAATTTACTATGATCTGTATATTACAGGTTATATACTCCCCTATGTATAGTATCCTCCTTTTTTATATGAAAAAAGTTACTTTTCTATCAATTTTATTATTTAGAAAATCAAATCTTATTCAGAAATTAGATATAAGTAATTTTCTAATTATTATACAAGTTTTTGAAATAATACATATAGCTATAATAAAAATTTGAATTATAAATGTAATAATACAAAATCAACTTCCTGAAATTTGTATCATATTTGAGATATTATGACCTGTAATATATGGTATTTGATTACTAAGATAAAATACAATATGTTAAATTAGTAATCTATTTAAACATAATTTTCTTTTATTTTTCCTATATATAATTCTACTTGAGTGAATCATTTCTTTTCCTTTTTATACTTTCTGCATCTTTTTTTATATAGTTTTTATTTAAGCTTTTCTATTTTAATATTTGGAATAGTAATATCTGACTAAACTTTTTTTACCAAAAATTTTCAGTTTCGTCACCAACTAGTTTTGGTTTCATCATTGACTAAACTATATAGTAATAATTTTTAAGTTTAAATTTTAATTATATAAAATTATAGTTTTATTATAAAAATATATGAAATTATATTATACATATGAGTCTTGCTAACTTGCCTCCCAGGTTAAATCATCCAAGTTAAATCACTCCCTCTTTTATAAAATTAGTTTTACAATCTAATATTTTATTAAAAATCTGCCCAGGTTAAATCACCCAAGTTAAATCACTATCCTCCCCTATAAATTTAAATTTTCTTATGTATAAACACCTGTTTACTCCTACTAACTATTATAATAAGTGGGTGTGAAGGTTTTACTGAAAACTTTGACCTTTCTCTCATGATCAAGAGAAAGCTGACCGTTATCAACTAACCTATTTTCTTGCTGATAATAAAATGTTACTGTAACCATTATTGATCAGTATGATCATTAATATATCAGATCCAGTTGATCTGATAATCATATCTACATCTTTATTTGACAAAAGAACTTGTACTAAAACTACAAGAAAAAAGAGAAGAAAGTAAAGGAATAATTAGAACGTCCTGTCTAAACACAAAGTTGCCACTTTTTTCGCTAACAACACCTGAGATTTTGCCCTCACCCTCAGTCTTAATGTCTTTATCTACTAACTCTCCACCCATGGTTTTCACTGCTTCTACCAATTCTTCATGCCTTTAACAAAAGAGATTGAGCTACAGTATTCCATTCTGCAGTTTACCTGTGGCTTCCGGCCAGTTGAAATCTTTTGGAACAAAAAGAGAAAAGTTCTAGGTAGTAGTCAATGATATTCCGGATGACAAATCTTTCTTTCTCAATGGCTTCTCTAATTCATTTATTAAAGAGGTAGAACTTCAATCAAGAACACGGATGGGAGTAGAAAACAGATTGGTTATTTGCAACTTGTGATGCAGTTTCTTACCGAATTTAATAACCCTTAGTTATAAAATGACTGTTAATGCTATTATTCCACTCCATCCTTTAGACCTAAAAATTATTTGCTGCCAGAATTAATGCCACACCTCTTTTTAGGTTCTGTATCAATAATCATAATGAAAATAAGAAGAATTTCCAAAAAATTCCTCAGAGATTCAAATTTATTGTAAATGGTCTAAGAGATATACTGTAAGGGAATAATGATGCATTAGTGAAATTAGTTAGAACGTATAATTATTTGACTGTTTGGATGTAATGGGTAATTGATATTTGATTGTAGTTAATTAAGTTTAGGTATTTGTATTTTAGATGTTTCATTTCTTTACTTTTGAATTATTGGCAAACCTGGCATCTTAGTTTTAACGAGTAGGAGTGGTTTTAATTTGTAATAGTTTACTCTGTACACTATTTTTACAATTTTAATAAAACGCATTTGTACATAATATGCGTTTCTTAAAAAAAAAATTTTGATCACAATTGTACAACAACTAACAAAAGATACTTATTTCAAAAAAAATGATTTTATTTTTGCTAACTTTTAACTTTACTACATATATTTATATTCCTGAGCATCGTGAAGTATAATAACCAGTTTTTTTACATTTTTGATAATGTTTTACATGTTTTTGATTGCTAAAATCTTGAATCATTAGTCCAGATTATTGATCATTTACATTTGTGATATCTTTAATAGTTTTTTTTCTTTTTCGTGAAGTTTTACCTCCTGATTTATACCTATTAGGTTGTTATCCTTTATGCTTAACTTGTATTGGATCTTTAACAATACTATCAATATTTTCCTGATTATTTGATAGTTCTTCTTTCGTTTCTTCAATAAAACTTTCAGGTTGACTAATGAGTTCATTAAGTTTATCTGCTTGTATAGTATAATCAAGTATCTTTTTAGCATAGTCTATATTGAACCTGAATTTCTGTTTAAGGCCTTGCAATTGTTTAATATTAGGCATTTGCCTAACTTTCTCAAAATGTTGAAATGATAATTAAGACAAAAAAAAATCTGTTTCATTGTTTTTAATTTGATAAACTAGTACTAAATAATGTTCTTGTTGACTCATTTGATATTTCTTGTTATTATACCAACATTGTAGAATAAGCATAATATGGAATTGAGTATTAGATGAATATGACATAACTTAGAAAAAATATCTGCATACAATCTCACAATTGATGAGTTAAAGACATATACATAAATGTGATCCATCATCAAGTATAATCACATATTGAGGTGCTGTTTGTTGGCCACGATGTCTATTTGCTTTCCATACTTCCTGAACATTATGTTGTATTATATTACCAAGTAATGAAGAAAGTAAAGACTGTGATTGATCATAATTGTCTTCTCTGGCAATATCTGTTTGATAAAAATCATCCATCAACTAAAAATAATAAAATGAGCAAATTTTTTTTTGTGTTTTTGATTATCAATCTTATCAAAATGTAAAAACCAAGTGTCTGTGTACATGATTACCATTAAAATTAAAATTTTTTACCTCTAATAAAAATAACCAATCATTATAATATCATAGCAGAGTGACTGTGCTATCTGATCACGCTGCTTTTGAAATATTTGTGACATAAGATATTCTTTTAATACTGTATCTAATCCCAGAAAATATTCTTCCATTATACTTGGTAAACCTCTAGTTGGAATTTTGTTCATATATTCAGTTAAATACTGCTTTTTTTAATTGTTTATCAAATATAGCTTGAACCTCTTCAACAACTTCACTTATTCTTGAAGTTTGGTTGAGTTTTTCTTTAATTATCTTATTAGATACTTCAGCATCACAGTTTGAAATGCTAAAAATCAGCAAAAAAAATAGCGTGAAAAGCAGTGGCTATTCTTGGCTATTCTTGGCTATTCTTGGCTGTTTTTGGCTATTTGCAAATTAACCTATACTATTTGTAAATAGTTTATATAAATTTGCGAATAGTTTATGCAATTCTAGCCATTTTTTTTGCCTGTTTTTGGTCATTTGACGTGTGCATGTTGAGAACTCTGAATACTTGCAGTAAAATTACAATTAATAGCATAACTGGTCTAACTAGTTTTGATCCAGGTAAATATTACTTCAGTTTCATCTTCTAAAAGGGCTGCTGCAACTATAAGATTTCTAAAATTATTATTAACAACTGTAAATAATAATAGTATCATGTCAAATTGATTAGTTCTTGATGTTGTATCGACTATAACAACATCATGATTAAGGTTGCTTGTCTAAACCTCTTCAAAATCTTACGATTAGTTTCATCAAAATTTTACTATAGATTTATTATAGTTTCGGCAGAGTTTTGGCAGTTTTTGCATTTATAATAAGTTTTGGCAGTTTCGCCTTTTTCCAAAGTTTTGCCAGTTTTTTAATATAACTTTAATATAGTTTCAGCAGAATTTCACTTTTCAGCGAAACGCCATCTTGCCTAAACTCCTAGGTTTCGGCAAGCAACCTTAATCATGATTCATGATATCTTTCATAAGCAATAATCTGATCAGAGGACATCCAAAATAAAGAATTAAGTCTTCTTTCTTCAGGATCAACTCATGATTTTACTATTCATATTGGATTATTCTCTTTTTCTAAATATAACTTAGTAAGCATTTGACAAGCATCATTTTTATCTGGCACTATTTGTTTTTTAAATTTTCTGTATAGCATTACTTAAATCTTTTTTATTAATTGTCTTATCAGAGAAAAATGCTACAAGTAAATTATATTGATTTGACATTTTCATTTTTCCTTCAATTATCCAGAATTTGATTTTTTCAAGCATTTCATTGGTAAGTCTTTGAAATTTTGGTGCAGTTTTTATGATAAGAGGATTTAGTGAATGATTATGTTCACTAATAATACTATTAATTCGAACACCTTTAGCTGTTTTAGAAAAAGCCATATTAACATGCCATAGACATCTGATCATTTCTGAATTTCTATCTCTCCTATTTTCTTCTAAAATAGCCTTGTCTGAATCATATGTATATGCATGGGAACACTCAAAAGTTCTTTTTCTTATTGTAATATTGTCAATAAGATCTATTTCACATCTTCTCTTATGAAAGGAAAATCCTTGTTACTTTGCAAAATTTTTAAGATAAGTTTTAGCAATTTTCTATATTTCAAATGTCATTCCTTTCTTCAATTCTAATTTATCTTCTTCTACATAATCATCATCATTATATAAATCTTCATCTTCCAATATATCAATATCTTTTACATCCAATACATTTATATTTTCTACTTCTTCTATATTATCTGATCCTTTATTACCTGATTTTTTTCATCTTCTGGTTGAATATTTAATTTATAGCTATTGTTATTATTATACATTTTTAAGGAAAATAACTATTCAATATTATATGAACTAAAAAAGGAGTCTTGTAAAAAATTACTATAAGATAGTTCCATTATGTAAACAAGTAAATTTAGACATGAAAGTGATATTAGTAACGTAAGTAATGGTGGTGATGATTATATAATAGTTATATTTAAAAGCAAAATTTAAGGTAACTAAGTATTTAATCACGAAACTTATATATTTGCAAAGTATTAAAGTAAACTTTTATATTTGAACGTGAACAACTTTATTGACAAAATTGAATTTGATGTTTTGTGTGTGAAAAAAATACTTCATGTAAATATAAATATCACATCATAATGATATCATTTCGTTACATAATAAAATCACCAGATTAAATCATCAAGTTAAATCATCAGGTTAAATCACCCTGATTAAATCACTCTAAAATAATATATAAAAATTACCAGGTTAAATCACCCTAGTTAAATCACTCTAAAATAATATATAAAAATTATCAGGTTAAATCACTCTGGTTAAATCATCTCAGGTTAAAATTAGTCTTATACTAGTATACATATAATAGTTTTATAAATTCCTTTAAAAAATATTATATTTTAATATAAATTTATTATTTTTTTTTTTATAAGTAATTATTATAATTAAAAATCCATGGAAATCTATAAAAAATCTATAGAAATACTATGGAATATTGAATTTTGGCATTTCGTTCTTTAATTTTAAATGTCTAACTATTTCAGTTTAGTCAAATGACTAAATATATCAGTTTTGTCCAGGATCTCTAATTTGGAAGGTATGGTATTCCAGTTAAGCATTTTTATAAATCTATATTTTTCTATTTGATTAGATTATTGTAATATATTACTATTTTATTAATAAGTATATTTAAAATTAATTTTATTCTGATAGATTTATTATTTTTTATTCAAATTTCTGTGTAATTTTATACTAGTTTTTTATATATTATACTATCTATATTTACATAAAAAAATGCTTAATTTGAAGAAGCAAAGAAAGCAATAACTTTTTTTACAGACTTAACTAATCTTGATTATAAATTCAACTATAATAATTATATATACTTTTAATATTTGTTTGCAAATATCTCTAGTATCGAAAATATAATATTTTTAAATGTTTATCATTCTAAGAAGATTGTTTCTAAATATATTGTTTAAATAAATAATTTGTAAAAATAAAAATAATATTATTATTTTGGGTATTGCTAAATATTACCAGTGGTGATTATCATCACATATAAAATATTTTTTGAATTTTCAAAAATTTTTGACTGAATATTCTTCTAATTATAATATAAATATTATTACTATATGTAAATTTATGGGTAGAACATATTTTCCTTAGATTATAAAGACTATTGTTTAGATAGTTTTTGAGAAAAACAGGAAAGTTTGATTTTATAAGTAAAATACAATTTTTTGTTTTAAAAAAGGTTTTTTTAGTCAAATTTTCAAAATTTTAGTGTGATTAGTATCTACTCAGATTTGTTTTACACATTTATTATTTAAATTGAAATTTTTGAAAAAAAATTTATGGTGTGTTTTTTAACTCTAGCCAAAATTATAATTTTCAACTAGAATTAAATAGTATGGTGATGATCACCACTGGTGATATTTAGTAATGTCCTATTATAATTTATTTATAAAATTTTATAAATAATTAAAATATTACACTTCAGAAATGGTAAGAGATCTATTTCTATATTTGTAATGTTTATATTTTTATTGTATGAAATTTAAACTCCTAGTTGATTTACTTTATAAATAAAAAAAAAAAATACATTACCCAGACAAAAGTAGCGGACCTACTATTTTTATCAATTACTCAAAATTGTACATAATAATAATACTTGAAATTTTAATATGTGATGATATAAATATTAAAAAACATACGTTCAAAATTTCATAGTTCTAGCCTTTATATAACCATATTAATTAAAGATAATTTAAAAGGAAATATTAATACCTATCATATATATGTTATATAATAGTAAATTAATAGTCTGTTACTGCCAGTTTATTTAGAATTGCATATAATAAAATACTTAAATTTTTATATTGTTTGAAAGCTCAGTTTAGGAGAATAAATATCATATGAATTTTTATATTTTTATTTTTCAAATTAACAATTATCTAAAAAATAAAATGTTATTCATAATTTTTATTTTTTTTTTAATTTATCGATCATCAGAAATTTTTAAATTTTTTTGAATTAATACAGCTGTATAAACGTTAAAAACATGAAAATTTGACTCTATGTTCTTTAAATTCTATATTATTACATGTTAAAATTTCAAGCATTGTTATTATATGTAATTTTAGTAATTAATGAAAATAAAGGGTCCATTACATTTGTTTAAGTAATATAACAGTCACCAAACTTCTTTTTTTTAATTATTATAGTTGTATAAAAGCTAGAAGCGTGAAATTTAAAATATATATTCTTCAGAATTTATGTTATCATATATAAAAAATTCAAGTATTATTAATATGTACAGTTTCGAGTAATTGAAAAAAATGTAAGGTCCGCTACTTTTGTCTGGGTAGTGTATAAATAATTAAACATATCTGCCAATTCGTGGAATTAGTCAAAATTAAGATTTTCATAAAGATTTGCATATTTTAACAAGAATTATGTTTCATAAGCTTAAATTATATGTGTTACATAATCAGATGATCTAAATCTATCAAAAAATAAAAAAAAAATTTTTTAACGTTTATTCAAAAATAACAATGGCAACTACTTTCTTTTTCAATCACTTTTCAATCACTTTTCAATCAGATTTTTGTTAGGTGACTTAGAAAAGTTTATAGGTATATATAGCAGGTTTTTTTTAATCAGTAAGTAAGAAAACAAATATTAATAATTTATATTAATAAGAAAAATCTTTTTTCATTTATTTTTAACCTTGGTTCCTTCTTTTTTTTTAGTAAAAATATATACAAAATAAAAATGTGAGTTATGATTTAGAGTTTTTGAAATGTTTTTTTTGTTTTTTACTATACTGATTTTATTCTACTTGTTAATTACTTTTTAAAATTGATTTTATTAATTTATTCAATTTAAAACAGAAATAGCAAATAAAACCTTGTTAAGTAAAGTAAAAAGAGCTCAGTAATACCTGTAAAGATAATCTTTTAGTAAGAATTATAATTTTAAAAATTTTTGTGTCAAAGTTTTATTCAATTAACAAGATTGTTAATATCTCAGCGTACATGCATGCTAAACACATATATTTATATTCATATGAAAGCCCAGAACCTACTCTACTTGTACAAAAAATGATCATTCATATCTAATTACTAGATGTGAAGATATTAATGATCAAAGTTAAAAGTTAAAAATAAATATATTGAACGTAATTATTCAGCAACTTGTGATTCAATTCATGCAATATTTGGTTTATGGATAGCTCTTGATTACCTCTTTCTAATGAATATAAATTCATTTGTCTAGCATATATATATGTTAAGTTATTCAATATTTTGTCATAACAATTATATTTAAATTTTTTAATTTTAATGATATTATTAAAAAAAATCAAAAAATAATATAATTAAATCAATTTTATTTATGTCAGCTAATGTGAATTTATCATTTTCATGTAACTTGTATTTGCATTTACTTAATAAAGTTAGTTTTTTAAATATAAAAACTTAATTCCATAAATCAACCCATATGAATATTATATTTACTTTTAAAATTTTTTTTTTAAAAAAAAAATAGAAAAAACTCTTTTTAATAATTACATTGATCATTTTTTATGAAAATTTTTTCAGCTTTTTATTAAATACTTATTAAAAAAATGGCTTTTTTATTTACAAATACTTTATTTTTAAATGTTATAAACATCACAAAACTAATTAAATTACAGTTAAATAAAGTTTTTATACAATTTTTTAAAGTTTTATTTAAGATATATTAGAAGATTTCTGAATCCAAAATATTTTAAACTTTTTGAAATCTGTCTTAAATCAGTAGATTATAATTACTTTAAAAATATGCTACTACTTTATTAAAAAATACTTTATAAGAAATTTTAATAACATAGTTTTATTAAGTTTAATCTGGTTTATTATTGTATGTTTATACTTTATATTTATCTTTTTTTTTGAATAAATAGTAGTGATTTAAATTTCATCAAATTTAATTGCTTGGACTAAGTTATATAAACTGTAGTAAAATTCTAAATGATATAGGTTTAAATTTGCTTAATAAAATATAATTTCAGTTTATTCAAATTATTTGTAGACCAGTAAATTTAATTGTTAATTTACCAAAATTAACAGTTTTTTTTTTTTATTATCAATAAAAAAATAAATAATTAATATAAATTAAACTGTCAATTTTTATAATTTATAATTAAAAATATGTAGATTATAGATAAAAATAATAATTAATAAAAATAATAAATTAAATATAAATAATTATTAAAAAATAAAATATTGTGAAACTAATTGAACGGGGTTTGACCTGTATTTATGCTTAATTTTAGTCAGAATTATGCTTAATTTTGGCCGGAATTATACTTAATTTTGGCCAAAATATAAACCGGACTTTGAAACTTATATTTTTAAAAATATTATCTATAAAAGTTAAAAAAAAAGTTTTAAAAAAATACCAATTTGCTCAAATATAAAATATGACTTTGTAAAATTAATACAATTTGCTAAAACTCATAATTATAACTATTAATTAATTTTCAATCAATTTGCTCTATCTAAAATTATGAGTTTAACCTAATTTTAATTGAATTTGCTAAAACTCAAATGTGAGTTATATATGTAATGATTGGAGTCCTGTATAAGTAATGATTTTTCTATATATATTTTTTTATTTTTACATATAAAATTATTTTGTTTATTACTTTACAAATAAATATCTTTTGCATTTTAAAAATAAAATATTTCTAATTAGTACATTTTTAAAAATTATAATCAATTAGCTTTCAAATAAAAAAATTTTGATCAAATTTTATTGTAAACTTATAAATTTAAAAATCATTAATTTTACTATATATTAATTTATTGTAGAATTATGTATTTGCTAATAGGTAAATTTAAATTATTTTTTTAAGATATAGTTTCATATTATTATCAGGTTGAATAATAATCTGTTTATCATAAATTGTGACTGTATTATAATTCTAACTAATATTACTTAATTTAATATATTAATATTTTAAAAAATTAAACTGTGATAGTTTCACTTTATTAAATTTCTTTATATAAGTAAAAAATTCAAACTTTTATCTTAAATATTTATTTTCAATTTATTATTTATTTATTATAAAATATTACATTTGGTCTAATAGAACTACTATATTCAAGTCTTTTAATATTTTATTTATTTTAATTTTTATTTTTATTTTTATTTTTATCCAAATCAAAACTTATTAAAGTGCAAACCAAATTCAGGATTACTTATACTTATAAATTTTAAAATTTAAAGTTATATTAGTAAATTATATACTACACTATCTAGACAAAAGTAGAGGACCTTCCATTTTTATCAATTACTCGAAATTGTATATAATAACAATACTTGAAATTTTAATATGTGATAACGTAAATTCTAAAGAATATATATTTAAAATTTCATACTTCTAACTTTCACACAGCTATATTAATTAAAAAAGAAGCTTGGTAATTATTACATTACTTAGACAAAAATAGTGGATCCTCTATTTTTGTTAATTACTTAAAATTACATAAAATAATAATACTTGAAATTTTAATATGTAATAATATAGACTTTAAAAAACATAGAGTCAAATTTTCATGCTTTTAATTTTCATACAGCTATATTTATTAAAAAAATTAAAAATTCTTGATGATTGTCAAATTAAAAAAAAATGAATTATTTTTATTTTTTTAGATGTTAATTGTTAATTTAAAAGATAAATTATAAAAATTTATATATAATATTTATTCTCCAGAACTGTAACTTTCAAACAATATATAAATTAAAGTATTTTATTATGTAAAATTTTGAGAATGTGAAAATACAGTATTGCTGTTTTTAAAAATTAAATTTTCTCTCAATTTTTTATATAATTCATATAAAAACAAAAACTAGATAAAGAAATTTAATATATATATATTAATCAAAATTCTGTACTATTACATATTAAAATTTCTGTTATTAATATTATGCAAAATTCTAAATAAATAGGCAATAACAGACTATTTATTTAATTTTATAGATAATCATCAATATTTCCCTTTATAAGTTTCTTTAATTAATATAGTTGCATGAAGGTTAGAACTACGAAATTTAGAATATATGTTCCTTAGAGTCTATGTTATCACATATTAAAATTTCAAGTATCATTATTATGTATAATTTTGAGTAATTAACAAAAATAAAAGGTCTGCTACTTTTGTCTAGGTAGTGTATATACTTGTATTACTATATTATATATTATTATAATCATTTGTACTATTCTATTACATGATTTACTATTTAAGTATATACTTTAATTAGATATATATAAAGGTAAAAAATTGATCTTTCACTTATATAAAAAAAATAAATTGCATCTAACTTTAAGTTAAAAATACATTCTAACCAATTGCTATTAATTATAATTAAGTATTAGTATTACTAAATATTATAACTATTACATTATCTTATCATTATCTCCTAAAATTTACAGTTATAATGTAAATTCTTTTTTAAATAAGATAACTGCTCTCTTTGTAAAAAATAATGTTAAAAAAAAAAATTTTAAAAAAAATTTTTTTTTTACTTTAAAACTGCTTTAAGTTAATTTTTCATTTAATATAATTTAAAAATTACAACTTAAAGAAAAAAAACCAAAAATATAATTTAAAATTATTATAATTTTAACTAAAATTATTAATAATAATATATATTATGTAATTTTATTTATATTTTTTTTTAAATTTTATAACTTCAGTTTAAATTAATATAATAATAAAAAAAACTAATTTTTTTTATAAAAAAAATAGTAATAAATTATATATTATTAAATTTTTTTTGGTATATTTAATCATACATATTGGCAAGTAAAGTGCTTTTTAGCTTTTATATAGGTTGATGATTTTGTAATTGCTCCTTTGAGCATGTACTGTTCTCTTTGAGTATAATAATAATAAAAAAAAAAATTTGTGTAATTTAAAGTTGTTATTTACTAAGAGTTAGATTTTCCATTCTTGAAATCAATTACTTTAAATTTCTTATAATGATGATTTGATAGTTTCAGTCAACATGTCAAAATAGTTATCAAAAATAACAAGGGATATTAACCGAGTATGTGTATAAGAAATTTTGAAAACACGCAATTTTCGGGTCCTGATTTGATAACAAAGTTTTTTAAAAAGTTATTTTACACGTGTTTTAAATATAAGATCGAATATAGAAATCATTGACACGAACTAACGTTTAGTCTCGTAAAAAAAAACACGAAATTTTATACTGCGGAAATTTTCTGTGTTACTAACTGCGATCACTGGTTCAATAAAAGTGGCTTGTAGCAAATTTTTTTCTAGCTATAAACTTTTGAAATTATTCGCGATGGATAAGTTAATTTTGGATTTTAAAGCACAAGATACACCGTATAAAGAATTTGTACTTGCTTTTTCCTGGGCAGTTTATACATTTGAACAATATTTAAGGTATTTTTATCTTTTTATGATAGATCTGTTATTCACATATTTCGGTCCTTACTCTTTTTTTAATATTAAAGCGTTCGTCAGTATCGTAAACTTCGTGAACCACATCCACCAAAGTCCCTACAGGATATTGAAGAAGTTCGAGAGAAATTTCGAAAAACACAAGAATATGGTCTTGACAAAGCGAAATTTGAGTTTGTTTCGGCTTTGTTTGGACAGATTCAAAGCACGTGTATGATCGTGTTTGATATTCTTCCTTGGTTATGGAACCTTTCTGGAGAATGGTTGGCATACGCTGGATACGGGCCCGACCACGAGGTATTTTTTTAAATTCATTTTCAATTATCGATTATTACAGTTATTTCTATATCGTGGCAAGGATAATTTTTCTAATCATATTTATTCTTCGTAGATAACGCAATCATTGATTTTTACCGTAATATTAACACTTTTATCGTATCTTATATCACTCCCTCTAAGTCTTTATTTTACTTTTGTCATCGAAGAACGTCATGGCTTTAACAAAATGACTTTGGGGTTATTTTTCATGGACATGATTAAAGGATTTTTGATTGCCGGTGTTATAGGGCTTCCGATTTTATCTTTAGTTTTGCAAATTATCAAATGGAGTGGTGAAAATTTCTATTTTTACGTTTGGATATTTATGTAGGTCGAATCTTTATATTTACTATTTAAATATTAAGTTTAATAATTAAATTAAAAGTAATTTTTTTTTTTAGGATAATTTTTACTTTCATATTACTTACTATTTACCCAACACTTATTCAACCTTTGTTCAACAAAGTAACAGTACTTCCGGAGGGTGAACTCCGTGGACAAATTGAAGCGTTAGCTTCTCGTATTAATTTTCCACTTAAAAAATTATATGTAATAGATGGTAGCAAAAGATCAGGACATTCCAATGCCTATTTTTACGGATTTTTCAAAAATAAACGAATTGTTCTATATGATACTTTAATAGAACAAGCTAATAATGGGGAAATAGTGGCGATTGTCGGTAGGCTTTTATAACGTTTAATAGGCAGATTTTACTTAATTGTCCTTTTCACTTTTCATTTAATTGAATTATTAACAATTCTGTTATTTTTCACAGGTCATGAATTAGGTCATTGGTATCTGAATCATACCGTTAAAATTCTTATTATTTCCCAGATTCACAATTTCTTCCTTTTCTTTGTATTTTCTCAATTTATCAACAACACATCCCTTTATAGATCATTCGGGTTTGAAACACAACCAATATTGATTGGATTTATGTTGTTTCAATTTATTTATGCGCCCGTTGAGAATGTTGTTGCATTTTTGATGAATATTTTAAGTAGAAAACATGAATTCGAAGCCGGTAACTATTTTTCAAAGTTATTTTCATGATCGTACACTGTAAATTATTAACATATATATATCTTTTTTTTTTAGATGCGTACGCAAAAAAATTAGGCTATGGAGTACAACTTCGTTCGGGTCTAATCAAAATTCAGATAAAAAATTTGGGAAATCTAAATAATGACCCATGGTACTCGGCATATCATTTCTCACATCCACCTCTTCCGGAAAGATTAAGCGCAATAGAAAAAATTGATTAAAGACAACAATAATTTCATTTTCATTACTTTCATTTCATAATATTAAAGTCACGTTACTGTTATATTGTTTTTATTTTACATCTTTTTTTTATATTATAAACACCCTTTTGTGCTAGGAACGTCATTTGTTCCAGTCCTTTCAATTGCTTGTCGTAATGCTACGGCGAGAGCCTTAAAAGAGGATTCCGCCCTATAAATTAAATTATTATGTTAAGAAAAATTAATAAAAATAAGAAAAATTCAATATTATAGAGCGGCAGAACTTTTTGCTTACCTGTGGTGATCATTCTTTCCTTTTAACACATCAACGTGTAATGTAATTCCTGCAGATGTGGCGAAAGACGATAAAACATGAGGGATCATTTCAGTAGAAAGTTCACCGATTTTTTCTCGTTTTAATTCCAAATTAATATCTGCAAATGGTCTTCCCGAAATGTCAACAACGGCGCGTGACAAAGCCTACGGAACGCCAATAAACAAAAATGTACGACTTATGCAAAAAAGAAAAAAAAATGCATCTTGATGAAAAAAGGAATGGTTATTACCTCATCTAATGGAGCATAAGCATAACCAAATCTCTTTATACCTCTTGGTTCTCCTAAGGCTTGTTTGAAGGCAAGTCCTAAAGCAATCGCTGTATCTTCTGCAGAATGATGATCGTCGATATGTAAGTCACCTTTACATGTTAGTGACAGTGACCACCCAGAATGTTTTGCTAGAGCATGATACATCTATTCTCATAAAAAAAAAGAAACGATTTTTTTTTTTTGATACATTAACGCGTCATAAAATTTGTTAATTTAATTACATGATTTAAAAATCCTATGCCAGAATTGATATCGATTTCTTGATTTCCTGCTGAATCCAAACATAACTCTACATTAATGTCGGTTTCATTGGTTTTACGAGATAAAGTTGCTTTACGTACAAGCGACATGATGCTGAAAGAATTTTTTTTTTTTTTAACTAAATCACAAATAAATCGATTGGTTTGTACAGCCACTGTACAGCCCGTATTCCACCGTATTCCATAATTAGACAAGTGCAAGTTGAATAGATTATTGCGTATACTAAGTTCTAAAAATGTTAAACAGCATTGTTTATGACCTGATTGTTGATAATGCTTAAACCCAAAATCAGAAATTTGCAGTTAGAATTTATGTGTAACGTGATTTGAAAGATTTATTGCATATTGTTTGAACTAGCATTTTAATTCTGGCGTTATTGTTTGTATAGTAATACAAAGTACCTAACTGCGTTTTTGCCTGAAAGAAATCCGAGATATAACAAAAATATATAAATTTATAATAAAATATTTTCTACTTTCGTATTATTCGAAAAGTTGTACAAGAAAATTCTGGGGATGTAACAATTATTTTCATTATGTAAAAAAAGTGGTTAGCACGGTAAAAAAAAAGAATAAATAAACCAGTAAGTTTTTGCCGGTTAGAAGGCAAAATTTCTTGATTCTGGTCAATCATTGCCTTTTTATTTGAAATTACACAAAAGGTTGTGGTTGAATTTGTGTAATCTTGGTTTTTTTATAAACTTAATGACTTTCAAAGATTTTAAATTTTTAACGCTTTGTCGCGAGAAGAATAAAAAATACCTATTAATAATAATTTTTGCTCGTTTCTCGTAACAAAGATTTTATTTCAAAAAGTTTTCAAACAAAAAAAATTATTTTATTATCTTATTTATTCAGTTTATCAAATTCATTTTTGATAAACTATTTTAATAATTTTTTTGTTCAAAAAACAAAAACCTTTTGTAAATTTTTTTCATTTGATCACATCTCGTAAATATTTGTATAAAATTAATATTAACATAATGACAACACCAGCTCCAACTACTCCTCCAGTACAGCCAAAGAAGACTAAAAAGTCAAAAACAACTGGGCCAGTAGTATTATTACCCAAAGGCAAATTCCCAACGTCGGTTGGAGATTACGAATTATTAGATGAAGCCACTAGAGAAAAGAAAGAAGAAGTGGCACAAAAGACTGCAGAAGAGGAGGTAAATGAAAAAGAATTTTTTTTTTTTTTTTAACTTTAACGAAATTAGTTTTTTTTTGAAAATAACACACTATTATCAAGATAACCAGTCGTATCACACACTATCTAAACAAATATTATTTATTTCTTAATTTTTGGTCATTTACACGAAACTTAATTTAGTTAGATTATAATTTTAGAATATTCGAATATTAGAATTGCAATTGTGTTATTTTTTTTCTTTAAAACTAATTTAAAAACTCGAATATTCAAATTTATTTTTTAAAAAAAATAGCCATCGAATTATGGATACTATCACACAATAATCATATCACATTATGAATAATCACCTTGTCACGTATTATATTTTTTTCAATAATAGGCAAAGAAAAAATGCCCAGATACGAATACAAAGCCTGATATTTTTCAATCTACAGGTTTTCTACAGGATGATAAAATTTACATTGTAAATTATCCAAATAATAAGAAGAAAGAGAGCGAGAAGAAAGATAGGGACATTAGCGATGCATTAAATGCCTTAAATGGTACAAGAAAGGAGGTGAGTTAAACCACTACACCTATTCCTAGATAATAAAATTTTTAATTCTTGAATATGTTACGATATTTTCTTTCCAGGGATCAACGCAAGATATGCCACAAGCGGCAATTGAAGCCCTCCAGCGAATGTTTGGAAAAGCCCCAGATCAGCAAAGGACCAGGGGTTCGAATTACGGAAAATTAGACCATGACTTCACATTCCCCCCAAGGGCGCATTCAACAGCGGGAAAATCAAAAGAAACAAAAGAAGAAACTGCGGACTCGTCCTCGAAAGTCAATGAAGATGCAAAAGAAGTTGACCTCGACGAGTTCGAGAAAAAAGAACGTGCACGTCGCCGAAAGAGCAATTTAAATGCTTTTGCACCAGAATTCACACCGTCTTTCATTTCTGGTAGCCCATTAACGGATGCAAGTAAATCTGATTCGGATCAGGCTGAGGACCGAAAGAAAAAGGGCAAAAAGGAGAAGGTATGCAATTCCACGTTAGTTTCTTACTTGTATCTTTTAATTGATAATTTTTTTTTATTATTGTTACGATTTTATTGTGTAGACAATAGATATAAATGGTGAGGTCGAGTCATCGTCCTATCATCAAAGAAAACTAAGGAAACATCCAGGCCAACAAATTGTAACATCCGATCTTGACTCTGCAACAGGTTCGTTCGGTTATCCAAATACTTATGAGCAACATCCATATTATGTTGCAGCACCGCCTACACCTTATCCGCCGGTTCCATACGCTGAAAATAATTCTTCTCCCCCTAACTGGGATGAATTCCAGAAAAGCTTGTCGATTGAGGTTGTTAATCGAGTTGAGGGAGAACTTCAAAAACATATTGAGAAGTTTGTTTCTGAAGTTAAAGCAACATTTGCCGAAACTAGACCTGAACATGTTGGTAGTAGTTCGTCGGTTTTGGATAAGAGGGAGGATGATGCAGATGAACGACGGGAAGGAGCTGGAAAAAAAAATGAAGAATCAAATCTCGAATGGATTCGAGAACAGCTTTTACACGAATTGCAACATCATCAACAAGATATTCGTTCTTCTCATAATGAGTTTGTGTTAAGACACGAAGAAATACAAACACGACATCTTGCACTTCAAGCAGAACTTAATAATGCTAAGGATGAAATGCAATCTGCAAGTACAGTTCAACAACAACATGCAGAGCTTCAAGTCATGCATCAAAACTTGCAAGCACGTCATATTGAACTTCAAAAAGAATTTAGCCAACTTGATGGATTAAAGACACGTATTCAAGAAATGCTAAATGAACATCGGAAGATACAAGATCGTCAACAACAACTCCATGATGAATTGAGTAATTCACAAACCTTACATCGTCGTATCATGGAAGTTGAATCTGAAAATTCACAGCATGTCCTCAAGAATGCTCAATTAATGAGTGAAAATTCTAAACTTACAAATGAGAACGCAAGACTTTCTGATGATAATAATTCAAGCAGGTCGATAATCGATGATTTTTCTAATCGTGAACGACAATTGCAATCTGAAATCACTGCGCTCAAAAGTAGTTTATCACGTAACGAAAATGAACTCCAAAGACAAGTGCGTACTTTACAGAATGAAAATACAAAGCTTTACGAAGAGAATAGTGCCTTGCAACAAAAACAAGATAGATGGATACAAACAGAAACTAGTCTAAATGATCTTAATCTTAAACTTCGGCAATCCGAAACTGACTGTTCCGAGTCTCGTAGAGAGTGTCACGAACTTGGACGAAAACTTGCAGATAAAGAGGAAAAATTACAAGATACTGAGCGACAGCTTAATGAATTGCGTGCTAGCTATCATCAATTAGAAACAGAAGTTTCGCATAGTCGTTCATTGAAAGAACATCACGATATTCTTGAAAGTGAATCAGATAAACTTCGAAAGACGGTTCAAGATCAGACTGAAACCATAAATAACAAGGATCGTGAAATTGATAATTTGAAGAGGGAAATTAATTCAAAGACCAGCGAATTTAATAATGCTCTTGAAGATCTTCAGAATCAGTTGATTGGATTAAATGAATGTCGCACTAATAGGGAAGATCTAGAGAAAAAAGTCACAGATCTTGAACGTGCATGTAAGTTGGAAAGTGATAAGACAGTTGAATTAGAACATTACCGACGTCAATGTGAGAGTCAAAGTGTAGAGTTACGTAAACGTGTGGGAGATATTGAAACTGTACAGCAAATGACTCAAGAACTTGAAAAGAAAGTTGAGAGTATACAACATCGTAATGCGGAGTTGGAGAAAGAGGTCTCTATGAAGACAGAGGAGGCAGATCGTCTTCGCGAAACGAACCGAACTTTGGAAAATAGTATATCTGCGTTGAAATCGCGATTGTTTGATTTAGAAGAAGAAAAGAATAAAAATATAGAAAAGAATAAAAATACTGACAAGAATCCTCAATTAACGATAAATACAAGTATACCGACAATACATAATAATCCTTTGGATGAACGTCGTGTGTCTCGAGATCAATTGTTTTTCAACGGTTCGTCAATTTCAAATACCTTTGATCAGCAGTCACAAAGTGCTTATCCACGACAAATAGCTCCTCCAAATAATAATATGCCTTTACAACCCATGTCAATAGTGACTAACTTTCAGCAACATTCTTCAGTCCAACATCAGTTACCTTTTAATCATAATCAGCAAAATCAACCACAATCAGTCGAACCATTTCAACATCAAACTACTACTGTACCAACAGTTCAATTACCGACAGTATCACCAATAGTACATCAACATCCTCAACAACTTCAACAACTTCAACAACTTCAACATCCTCAACACCCCCAACATCCTCAACAACCTCAACAACCTCAACAACTTCATCAACTTCAACACCATCAACTTCAACACCATCAACTTCAACAGCCTCAACAACCTCAACAACATCAACAACATCAACCTCAACATCATCAATTTCAACATCCTCAACAGCCTCAACAACCTCAACAACCTCAACAACCTCATCATCAACCTCAACAACAGCAACATTCTCAACATCATCAACAATTGCAACAAAACATAACACAAATGTTCCAACCGACGCAGACTCATTCTCAGCAACCACCAATTCCTCCGTTAATGATACAAACAACCCAGCTTCAGCAACAAATGAATACATCAGCTTTACCTTCACCAACACTATCACAGCAAGGTTCTTTGTCATATTCGGCACAACAGAATGTTAAAGATAATAAAGTGCATAGTCGCAATAGCTCATATAGCTCACGTAACAATGGAACCGGAAATAATAATAATAGAAATAAAAAGTATAAGAAAAAACATACTAATGATAGGAAGAATTTAACCAATGAAAATAATAATCAAAACAATAACGTTGATAATACCGCAAATAATTCTAAGGCAAATGCCCCTGATTCTAATGATGCACCAGGAAAAGTATGGAACAAGCAACAACCCGGTGATACACCTTGGTGGTAATTGTCACCAATTAATTCTCTTATTCTTTTATTTTTGTTCTTTTTTTTTTTTGTCTTAAAATAATTGGTATATGAAAAAATTTTTGTATTGTAAAGTCATAATAGGCTAAAAAATTTGGTAGATTTTTTTTATGCTTTGTATATTATTTGTATATAACATACATAATAAAGCAATTATTATAATTGATGCCGGGGACATTATATTGTTGATACAAATTTATTGTTAATACAAATTTCATTTAATTATATAGATTTATTATTTAAAAATTTAATCTAGACATTTACCTTGTGATTAATTATTATCAACGTAATTTTTTTTGTATATTTACATTATTCAAAATTCCCGGTTAGAATTAAATGATCCGCACAAAAAATTTGTTATTTAATCACATTATTTTTGGCCATTATTATCGCAATTTTCGAATTACTGAAAACAGTTTAAATGGGAAAATAAAATAAAAAAAATGATTTTTTTCAAAAACCCACGAAAACAGTAAATTTTATTGCATTTTTAGATAGAGAAGGTGCTGAAAATGTTAATTTTAGAGCAGAAAACTTAATTTTTCGGCAAGTTTGCATATTAAAGCGACTTTGAGATTTCGTGTAACCTAAAAAGTTCTCTATAAGTAAACTTACCTAAGAGTTGGATTTTTCATCCTAAAATCAAGGTTTTCATGTTATAATCGCACCTTCTCCAAAAATGCAATAAAATTTACTGGTTTCACGGGTTTTTGAAAAAAATCATTATTTTTTCCCGTTTATACTGTTTACAGTAATTCGAAAATTGCGATAAATTAAATTTATTTTTTATTTAAATAAATAATAAAACTTTTATTTGAATCTTAGGTTACAGTTATGCACGATTATAAAATAAATGATTGGTTGCATGTGATCGAAATATCTTATCCGGACGCAGCCCGTATTAATCACAAGGGAATAAATACTACATACGATTATTTTTTGAGCGATGACCCTCTATTCTAGCCCTTTTCCTAACTGGCACTTCTTTCGCGTACGCCCTATCACTGCCTTCTCGTAACCAGAAAATATTAAGTTCTATTCATCTTTTTCTGAGCTATGTGAAGAAAAAGGGCCCTCTCGGTAAAATCACTTGCTTCAGATATCTCTCATAGGCATATAGAAGGAAAGTGCCAGTCCTGTTCTATCATGACGATTCCATAAATCATATAAATCATCTCATCCTTCCAACTTGTTCGAGCAGTGTTCGAACTGCTGGATATTCTGGACAAAGCCTATGGGAACTTTACACTGCTTACCTCCGTGATTCAAATAAGGTCGTCGGCTTCCTGGAGATGAAAAGAAATAGCATTAGTACATTACCAGGTAAAATATCAAGAAAATCATCGTCACGATACGTGATGATAAACGACCTCTGCTTTTTCCACGTACCCGTATTGCTAAGTTCCTTTTTCATCCATGACGATACGGATAGGTTACCGGCAGCATGAAGTGATGAAGAAGCGCCACGATATACTCATTTGCACATTACTTTAAACTGTTGGTTGTAATGTTCCATGGAAGTTCAACTCAGCGTATGTGATCCTTATCATCCTCTTGAATTTCGTAGGCTTGTAACTTGAACATCGGGATGGAACCTATATCATCAGAGTCAAGGCCATATTTTCTAATATTTTACTCAAGATGAGGTACAGAACGAATTTAAGTTTTCTCCTTACACTTCTTGGTAAAATCCGCAAGCCTTGAAGCAGATCCTCTGTTCATGGCATGAATTTTGCTTGGTCGTCTTGAGAAAGACACGGTAATTAATTACGAATGATTTTTTTCGTCGTCCTCGTCAAGACCTAAATCTCGCCCCAGCAAAGCTCGTCGTATTTATAATTTTTATTTGTCCACTAGTGTGAGCCATTTCCAGTAAGTAGAGGAAGAAACAGGTGTGTTAGTTTCAGAACGGCGCCCGCTTTCTCATTTGCAATCGAGAACAAGTGATATCTTTCTTTCGAAAGCTAGAGAAAATTTTTCCTGTTCATCTTTTTCTGGAAAAAGAAAAAATGTGTTACTTATATATGTGTCTATGTGTCGCGTGATCCGATCGATGATCTCTGATCAACAAATAGCATTCGAAATTGGTGAAAGAATAATTTATTATAAGATATTTCTATAATGGCTCTAATTTCCAACCTTATACTATTATATTAATTGATACTTAGTAATTAATTATCTTCAGCTAAATGTAATTAATAAAAAATGACAATTAATCTTAAATAATCTGCTAATAGCAACATGAATTTGAAATTCAAATAATTTATAATTTAAATCAAAAAGTACACGTAAAACACTACAAAAAAATTCCAAGTCAGTAATGACGTTTCTTTTCTTTTTTCGACATCTTTATTTTTTTTAACAGAGAAGATCAGTGTTAACTTAATTTTGGCAATATTATAATTTTAATCAAATGTTTTTGAATCATTACTCCGGTCAAACTCGTAATTCATAATGCCTGGCCTGAATTAAAATTTTGATACCATTCATACCAATGTTCCATAGTGATTTCAATATTCCAGTTCATTAAAGTTTGAGAATAGTTTTGGTAATGGTGCTTTTACCAATTCCGTTTTTTTCCAGCAATATCATAACTTTTTCTTTGCTGAAACTGGAAAGAGAATGCTGTTCCAGTAAAATTTTCACCAGTTTCCCATCATGGGAAAGATTTAGCGATCATATGGTGTATCTGTAAGAAATATCTATAATAAAATTTAAGATAAAAAAAAAGAACAAACTATGCATTTATTCCAATGGACTTCACAATCTATAGCACTTTTGTGGTAATCAAGTAACCGTAACACATTGCACATAGAATCCAAATCAAACACGTGACCGACGCAGCCCATAAAAAGAAGTCCGCAGCAGTTTTCCTCGATATGGTCCATACACTTTAACTTCTTTAATATAACAGACAAGAACTTCTTTCATATAACCAATATCATCTTGAAGCTTAATTCCAAGCGTAGTTACGGTTGGATTTAACGATCATGTCATATGAGTGGACTTTTGCGACGCCCATATGTTTCATTATCAACTGACACCTGGCACATGAAAGGATTGATTTCATTTTTGGAACATCGAATTGACTGAATTGACTGAATTGACTGTCCGGGCGTATAAAGATGACATGGCGTTTTTAGGTGGCCCCAAAATTGGATTATGTCCTCGAATTCTTTAACTGCACCATTGAATTGCTGGTATTATTTTCACTCTCGACATTGCCATTAGCTCATTGATTTGTCCATTAGTCCATTGTGAATAGATGCTCTGAACATGAATCGCATTATCTTCCTTTTTTCCCCAAAATCATTAAATTCACCGTTGATCACTTCCCATCATCTTGGATTTTGTCAGTCAAGATTACCAGCATTCTAGCAAGATATCTTTTCTTGTTTCGATAACTCATTTCCTCAAAGAAACTTATCATCATGATAGTCCATAATAGGCACATTGTGTCCCACATGCATCGTTACCATTAAAACTGGACGACAAAAGGTCGTAAAATTCAAAAAATTAAGATTTCGGAATTTTAACCGGAACCGAACCAACCTAACTAATGCACACTCCCTATGCTCTGCACGTGCAGTTTACAGTCCCTGGCACACTCTCTAAATATGCAAGCACGTGATGATTAAACTGTTCGATTATGGGTTAATTTTTATCCAAAGTCCGTCAAATTTAATAAAAATTAATTTAAATAATTAATGATATAATGTAACAATGCCTTCAGAAAAAGTAAGTTGATGTTTATACAATATATTATTTTAATAGACAATATATTATTTTAATGTCTATTTTGCTATTGGCCGTTCTTTAGGTGATGCACTATTCCCTGTATATACCCACGTCCTTTAGGTAGTGCACATCCTTCCTGTACATACCCAGCCCAAGAGCGTTGCATTTATGAAGCTGTTTCTGTATAACGTTGTAGATTTCGAAAATTTGGCGTATCAATCGACTTATAATAAACAAGGAATTAAATATTCGTAAGAGTCTATCTTACTCAGGAGAAAATATATTAATTAAGGATCTACTGCTATTCAAAAATTCATTGCAATACAGCAATAATCAGGCTTTATTAAAGATTATAAGAATCGATCAAACTGATCAATTCTTATACTATGTATTAAATGCAAGGGCAATTGTTTAACCGACACGGATTAACGAATTCCGCGTTCTTTTTTTCGAAGAAACATATTACCTACAAAGATTGATGAATCAAAGATTGTATTAAAATTATTAAAACTTTGAATATGATTACAGTTCTCAATTAAAACTGAAAATTTTAATTAAATCATCACTTGCTAAAACATAACATGAACCGGATAAAATTTTCCAATAAGAGGAATTTAAATGCACTTTGATTCAATACTTGCATTTTGTAAATATTTTTGTTTATTTTAAGTAAAATTGTGAACTCCGCATTGCACGCACGCATAAAAAGTTCAAAAATGTTTATTTCGTCGAAATTCTAATTTTTCATACGTTTACAATATAGATCTTTGCATTAATAATAAATTAATAATAATAAGATCCAATGATAAGATATTTCAATAAATTTGACTCCTTGTCTATAAAATAAAATATTGATTGACAATGTTTCAAAATTTTTTTTAAGCCACATAATTTAAGGTCGATTTCGTTACATTTGTAATAGATTTAAAATAATTATCGGAAGTATGACCAATTTAAGAATAACGCCAAGAAATAATTCGAAATGTCGTGATATTAAATTTCTTATGTAACATACTAAAATAATCTACAAATGCATTTCCAAATTAGGATTTCAGAGGTTTCGGATAGTTTCACTGAAACAGTACAATGATGATGATCATTATTGTGGTAACCAATTAAGAAAAACAGCTCATATAAATTTAAAGGTAATTTTTTTTAGTTTAAATATATAGCCAATAATAAGAAAGATAAAGCATTTTTGATTTTAACTAAAAAAAAAAAACAGAAAAATTTAAAGTTGTTAACAAGTATAATTCGTAGATCCTCAAAGATACTCCCTACATTTTTTTTATTTTTTTTTCAATTTATTTCTAATTGCCACAGTAATTTTTTTGCCAAGAGGTTTTAAAGAACAAAGCTAACCATTAAAAAAGAACCAATAATTTATTATTATTTTTTATTATTTTTTTTTTTTTTTTTGAAAAGAAATCATGATAAAAAATGACTTAATATTTAATTGTAAGTTATAATGACAATCAGAAAAGGGAATCCATCACGAAACAATATGCGTGAAAATTTCCCCTACATTATACAAGACCATTAATGCTAAATTTATTTTATGTAATACATTGTCGATCTATCCTGCCTTGTTGGTCAGAATAATTGTATTAATTAAAATTTTCGCTAAATAAAGTGAAATCATAAGGTGAAACCAAGTGATTATAATATCAAAATTATCTCAATTATCAATATCATTTGTAAATAACTGCGAATTTTTATCTATTTAAACACCATTTCTACTTTATGGAGTTATTTCTTCAGTTCAAATATAAAGTTAAATTCGCTTTTTTTGATAAAAAGTGTAGTAATCTTTTTTGATAAAAGTGTAAAAAAAGAATAATTTCTTTCCTTTATCCTCTTCCCCTAAATTACATTTCTCATTTTTTAACACTCTTTCGCATCAACAAAAATGAAATTTTATTTCGCTGTTGCCCTTTTATTAGCTGTTGCTTCTTTAGCTAATGCAGTTGATACTATAAAACCTTTGAAACCAAGTGCTTTTTGTATAAAGAGTAAACTTACTCCTGGTGATGGTACTCAACTCAAGCAACCTAGTTGTGTCAGTCTCGAAATTGGTGAAATTCCCGCTACCAATAAGATGGTCTCAGCTTTAATCGTTAATCCAAAGAATAATCAAGCAATTAAACGAAACACACCATTTACAGTTGATACCAAAGTCATAGGTCTTAGCACTGGATTCTTCTCTGATCCAGCCGTGGACTATTATCAAATTCAACAAACTCTTGATGGAGGTGGCCAAATTCAAGGACATAGTCATATTACAATCCAAAAAATAGATGGTAATAATGCACCTGATCCTACAGTTTTTGCATTCTTCAAAGGTTTGAATGATGCTGCTAAGAATGGTGTCTTGAGTGTAAATGTAGACACCGGACTTCCTCAAAAAGGTACCTATCGTATTTGCACGATGAATTCTTCAAACTCTCATCAACCCGTGGTTATGCCAGTTGCTCAAAGAGGTGCTCAAGACGACTGCGTTAGAATCAATGTCATTTAAGAATGTAACTAAAAAAAAGGTTCAACTTGCCCTAATTCTTATTTAAATGTGCATTTTTTTTTATAATAGACAGATCTGTAAATTTTTTTAAGGATTTTTTTTTTTGGTAGAATTCCCAAAAAATAAATGAATTTACATAACATCAAATTAATTTTTCCTTTATTATTTAGTACATTTAGTTTTTTTTTTTTTTAATTTTTAATTAATTTTTGGGCATTTCTTCTTTTGTAATTTATGATAGGGTGTTACAAATAATAAAATAATAAATGTGAATTTTAGAGAAATTATCAAATTCTTTCCTCTTTTTTTTTAGTCAATGTATAATAGATAATAATATATAGTCTGGGAAAGGCAATGATTTTTAAATTCATGTGTTTTTACTATATATTTTAATAATAAATAAAGAATAATTTGAATTTATCATAATTGATTATTATTTTTCGTAAATTTTTATTATTATTTACAACAAATAATCATTTATTTGTAAATACTGTATGTACCATGCAAATCATTGTTAGCAGCGTGGGAATCCCAAAAATCAAAATTCTGATATACATAATCTAAAATTCCAAAATTTTACAGCTGTTTTCTAAGTTACGGGACAACTCGGCATTTTTTATCTCTAAAAGTAATTCGGTAAAAACTCGAAAATAAAGTAAAAAACTATATCGCTGTTCTCGGATCAAGTACTCCGAATCTAACGATATCTTATTCTGAGTTTTACCGAGTACTTGTATTGCCGAACGTCCCGAGTGTCTCCTGACATGTAATTTTATGTTTCATAACTTATGAAATCAGCTAAAATTCATTGTCCCGACAGTTCATTATCCCGAAGCATACGTATTCTTCTTCAGCAATAAAAAGTTATATATTATTATTATTTTCTTATAATATTCTTATATTTACACAATTATCAAAAAATAAATATATTGTTAAGCCATAAATGGGTGATGTGTGGGAATTTCGATTACAGATGGTGAATTTTCATGAATAGGAGATTAATTGATTTTCAGGGAGGGGGAATAATTAAATTTGTGTAACCATTCGAATGAAACGATCCCATTAAAAGAATTTCTTTATAGTTAGAATCAAGTTAATCAAGTTAATCAAGTTTAACGGAAGGAATTTTGATGATTTTATTTTTGTTAGTATTTCCATATTAACTAGAACTGTTATTAAAATCAGGCAAATATTCTAAAATTAATAAAAGTAAAACAATATAATAATCGGTCCTATTTTTCTTCATTTTTCCAAATCATCTCATGATTTTCTTTCGAACAAAGTATTAACAAATGTTATGTGTAAAAACATGTTTTAAAACAATTTTGGCGTTTTAAAACGTTTTAAAAACATTTTAAAACAGTAAGCACTTTACTAGCCTTTATTACGTAATACATATTTGCAATAAAAATTTCATTTTATTATAATATATATTAATTTTAAATCTTCTGAAAGACTTTTACATTTCATCACATGATTCAATCGATCAATTATGTCATTTTCACAATATTACACTTTTGTATATATATATATATATTCTGAAACTTTTTCAAAGTGCTTACTAATTTTAAAAAAGCTGTTTTGCAAAGAGATCAAAAAAAAGTTGAAAATATTACGCAATAATCATGCCGATCAATGTTTTAAATCAAAAAAAAAAAAAAACGTTTTAAAACAATAAAAAACTGATTTAAATCGTTTTAAAACAACTTGTTTTAAATCACGTGCCATCCTGAGACCAAATTTAAGTATTGTATAGACAAGTTTGATTTGATAAATAAAACGTATTTTCTTTAATTTTTTTTATTTATTTGTATTAAAATTTTTTTACGACTAGCGTTTTTAACTCTGGCAAAATTGTAATTTTCGGCCGGAGCCAAGTGGGGAACAAATAAAACTTTTGAAATTTTGACTTTCAAAATTATTATACTAAAATTATATTAATATTTATTTCAGTTAAAAACATAAAAATTATTGTACAATAGCAACTATCCATGTAATTTTAGTTTATAAATATTATTAATAAATAAATATATATATTATATTGTTTTACAAAAAATTATTTTAATTACCGTAGCTCCTCCCTTTTTGACGTTACTATGGAACTATTTAAATCAAATATTTAAAAACATTATTGGAGATTTTTTTGATGATCTGCCGGTTAATGGATTGACTGGAATTTTTCAGATATTTTTTAATTATACAGTTTATATTTATAATAATGTTTAAAAATTGATGACTATTTAATAGCTGCCTTTTCCTAATTTCATATTCATACGCAAAATTATACAGAGTTTATAAATAAAATTAAAATTTTATTTTTTTTTAGGAAAATAATTTTCTAATAATCTCTGCATCATCCAGCGAAACTATATTATTATTTAAATTTAAATTATGTAGTGGTTGATGCTTTCTTTGCTCTCGGACTTTTTTAATACTGGATCATTAACATTTTCAAATGAATTGGAACAAATAGAAAGCCTTCATTTGATTGCTGTAATTCTTTGTTCATATTTTGATGAGTTTTAAGATCATATTTATTGAATAGTCCTTCGATCTGCTGCTAGTGAATTAATATGTACCAAATTTGATTTTTTACAAGATTTGGATTCTGATTCTTAACATAGTGAATAAATTCATCTTTAAATATTAAATCTTCAACACATCAGATAGGCCAAAATCATTTGTTATACCTTCTTCAATATCATTTTCTAAGAATTTCACATATATACTAATTGTCGTAATGTTGGAATATTAGGCCAATACAAACCAAGAACAACATTTGCATATGCCTTAGCAAATTCATGGCCATAGAATCTACCAAGATGGCAGACACTTAGAGGAAGGTGAAGCCAACAGTTCATCCATTTTTGGAAAACTTCTAGTAATTTTGTTGCTATATGTTCTAACTTCCAAATCTTCAATTAATTTTTTAACTTGTCATTTTGTTAATACTTCTGTTGCTTTCAATAGCTTCTCACAAAAGAAACCATGTATATTTTCAGCAATAAATAGAAGATCTTTGATCTATTTTAATACTGTTTCTGGTATTTAATAAGCCCTACAACCTGAAAGTAGCCTAATAACCTGCTTACTTATAAGATAGATTACCTCCAAGCCTAAGATATATAAAATTCTTTGCAGATCTTACTATAAAAGGAAATTTTATATTACATTATTATGATTTTTGTAAAAATCATTAGTAAAGGGCCAATTTTTTACGTTAACATTTATTGTAATTATAAGTACTAAACAAGCTATAATTTATCAAATCTATTACTTTTAATAAAAATTTTAAGTTGGAAATTATAACCTATACTTATCAGCGGAATTGAATTTTTGAATTATAACAGACGTAATTAAAATGCCGTGATTTGCCGTAATTATATGTTTTATTAGTAAATATTTGTACTGACGTAATTGTTTTTGGCTATGCCGTAATATTTTGACATTAACTTTTTAATTCTACTGAGAAGTATATTATAACCATTTAAAATAACTACCATTAGTTCTTTATAAAACATTTGATTTAAATATCTAATTGTGAGTTATTTAATCATATTTCAAATAGCCACCATTTATTTAAATAAAATTTAAATGTATTTTTTAATAAACATAATTTTGAAATAAATTATTTAATAAATTATTTGTAAGTTTCTTTACATTTAAAATATTGTTTAGCTATTTTTAATTTATATAACCAATATAAATGCATTAGTTTTTGATATTGGTTTATATCAAGGTTAAGAAGTATTTTGAAAAACTATATATTATTTTAGACTTTATTCTTAATGGCTTATTTTTGTTAGTCTTATCATATCTATTATAAAATTTTTATATTAAATATAATAAATTAAATGAATGTGATTATTTGTTAAATCCTATGTTAAAAGTCAATTTTTCAAATGCAACATCTTCAAAGTATTGAAAATAATATAAACAACATGAAGATTACAAGGAATTTAAAAACATTAATTTTTTGCCATTTTTAGTAAAAAGTTTAACTATTCTATTATTTTTTTCTGCCATATAATTTGTATTATCTAAAAAAAATGTTTGGCATATTCTTATATTAACTAAATATTTATTTAAAGTTTCTATAACTGTTTAAGCAACTATTTATATTATATGTAATCAAATCCTTTATTTCAACTAATAATATATCTGGCAAATTTTTTTTTCATTTTAATATATAAAACAAAGGAGTTTGCTATTTATTGCTGGTAGTGATCATTACTGATGTCACGTGATTTTTAATTTTGGCCAGAATTAAATGATTGACATATAAATTGCCTTTTTTGGAATATTGTGTAATCCATTTTCCCAATTTTTGAGAAACAAAATTGCTTTTTTTGGATAGTATAACATTACTCAAGTTTCCAAAAAAGGATATTTTGGCCGGAATTATAAAATTTGGCTGGAATTATAGGGCATGACAAATAAAGGTGACAAATAGGATTTTTTATACTAAAAAAATTCTAAGTCCGGAAACAAGGAAGGTGTGATACGAAGTGACAAATTATACATTATTAAAAATCATGTGACATCGGCAATTTATAGCAATTTTATAAAATAAATTATAAAGACCTTGGTAAAGCCTCTTGTTAACTCATTAACTAAAATGCCAAAAGTATAGAATTCTAATTATTGCAATACAAGAATTCATCTATTATTAATTTTAAAATTTCTTTATTTCAGTATACAGTTTACCCTTCCTATAGCGAATTTTAATATAATAAATCATGTGACATTTAGCCAATAAAATATGTCAATTTTTTCTCACTATAATGAAGTAATCAATCAAATTCTTCGTTAATTTGCTATAACAAATTTGCAAATTTGAGGTGTAGAATGACTTCTTTACTATATCAAGAGTAGACTGTATAACTAATTGTAATGAGAATGTTGAAGTTGTTTTATTGATCAAAAATTCTATAAAAGTTCGTATATATTGTAAAGTATACAAAAAGATATTTTTCCAATCTAAAATAATTGTATAATCAATATCATTACTTTACTATTATAGTATTTTATATTATCTAAAAAAAGAGAATTAAGATATGATTTAATTGAATTGATTAAAAGAGGTTTTTTTATTTTACATTGGCATGAACTCTTACAATTTAACTAAATTATTTTTTTTTTTTATATAT